ACCTGTCACGTCTGTACATTGCTCAGTGTGAACCTGCTTCATCTGTGAAGGCACAGGGCGCCAGTGGCGAATTTGCCAATCTGGTGTTCTCTGGCAAATGCCAAACTCCTGCATGGTGTGGGCTGTAAGCACAACCCCCACCTGACTTATACACCTCATGGAGTCTGTTTCCCTTGCAGAATGGCACATTCCGTGGCCTGAAATTTTAAAAATGGGGGAAAAATTTCCACATTTTCATTATTCTTAAGTTTTTTTATCATCTAGTAGAATGTGGTGCAAAAATCAACATCAAATACAATGGGAAAAAAGTATTTTCCCCGGATTTGGAGTTTTCCCCCCTTTTAAAAAAAAAAGGGACCTTAAATTTATATAGGGCCTTAAAACAGCAAAATGAAAAAAATTTAGAAAAACACTTGTAGGATTTTAATGAATTTATTGCAAATTATGGTGGAAAATAAGTATTTGGTCAATAACAAAAGTTTCTCAATACTTTGTTTATATACCCTTTGTTGGCAATGACACAGGTCAAACGTTTTCTGTAAGTCTTTCTGTAAGTCTTTTCACCACACTGTTGCTGGTTATTTGGCCCATTCCTCCATGCAGATCTCCTCTAGAGCAGTGATGTTTTGGGGCTGTCGCTGGGCAACACGGACTTTCAACTCCCTCCAAAGATTTTCTATGGGGGTTGAGATCTGGAGACTGGCTAGGCCACTCCAGGGACCTTGAAATGCTTCTTACGAAGCCACTCATTCGTTGCCGGGCGGTGTGTTTGGGATCATTGTCATGCTGAAAGACCCAGCACGTTTCATCTTCAATGCCCTTGCTGATGGAAGGAGGTTTTCACTCAAAATCTCACGATACATGGCCCCCATTCATTCTTTCCTTTACACGGATCAGTCGTCCTGGTTCCCTTTGCAGAAAAAACAGCCCCAAAGCATGATGTTTCCACCCCCCATGCTTCACAGTAGGTATGGTGGTTCTTTGGATGCAACTCAACTTTCTTTGTCCTCCAAACACGACGAGTTGAGTTTTTACCAAAAAGTTCTATTTTGGTTTCATCTGACCATATGACATTCTCCCAATCCTCTTCTGGGATCATCCAAATGCACTCTAACCAAACTTCAGACGGGCCTGGACATGTACTGGCTTAAGCAGGGTGACACGTCTTGCACTGCAGGATTTGAGTCCCTGGCGGCCGTAGGTGTACTGATGGTAGGCTTTGTTACTTTGGTCCCAGCTCTCTGCAGGTCATTCACTAGGTCCCCCCGTGTGGTTCTGGGATTTTTGCTCACCGTTCTTGTGATCATTTTGACCCCACGGGGTGAGATCTTGCGTGGAGCCCCAGATCGAGGGAGATTATCAGTGGTCTTGTATGTCTTCCATTTCCTAATAATTGCTCCCACAGTTGATTTCTTCAAACCAAGCTGCTTACCTATTGCAGATTCAGTCTTCCCAGCCTGGTGCAGGTCTATAATTTTGTTTCTGGTGTCCTTTGACAGCTCTTTGGTCTTGGCCATAGTGGAGTTTGGAGTGTGACTGTTTGAGGTTGTGGACACGTGTCTTTTATACTGATAACAAGTTCAAACAGGTGCCATTAATACAGGTAACGAGTGGAGGACAGAGAAGCCTCTTAAATAAAAGTTACAGGGTGAGAGCAGAAATCTGGTTGTAGGTGACCAATATATTTTCACATATTTGCAAAAATCAAAAAATCCTACAAGTGATTTCTGGATTTTTTTCTTTGTCTCTAGTGCGTGTACCTATGATGAAAATAGGCCTCCTCATCTTTAAGGGGACTGCCAGTGGGGTACTAAATTTTTTTTCCCCACTGTATATACACTGCTCAAAAAAATTAAGGGAACACTAAAACTGAACACATCCCTAGATCTGACATGAAATGAAATAATCGTATTAACAATACTTTTTTCTTTCACACATAGTTGAACTTGTGCTGACAACAAAATCACACTAAAAATTATCAAGATGGAAATGCACTAAAATGTATCAACCCATGGAGGTCTGGATTTTGGTAGATCCACCCTCCAAAATTAAAGATGGAAAAACCCACACATACAAGGCTGATCCAACTTTGAAATGTAAAGTCCCTTAAAAACAAGTTCAAAATGAGGCTCAGTAGTTGGTGTGTGGCCTCCACGTGCCTGTATGACCTCCCTACAACGCCTGGGCATGCTCCTGATGAGGTGGCGGATGGTCTCCTGAGGGATCTCCTCCCAGACCTGGACTAAAGCATCCGCCAACTCCTGGACAGTCTGTGGTTGCAACGTGGCGTTGGTGGATGGAGCGAGACATGATGTCCCAGATGTGCTCAATTTGATTCAGGTCTGGGGAACGGGCGGGCCAGTCCATAGCATCAATGCCTTCCTCTTGCAGGAACTGCTGACACACTCCAGCCACATGAGGTCTAGCATTGTCTTGCATTAGGAGGAACCCAGGGCCAACCGCAGCAGCATATGGTCTCACAAGGGGTCTGAGGATCAAATCTCGGTACCTAATGGCAGTCAGGCTACCTCTGGCGAGCACATGGAGGGCTGTGCGGCCCCCCAAAGAAATGCCACCCCACACCATGACTGACCCCACCGCCAAAACCGGTCATGCTGGAGGATGTTGCAGGCAGCAGAACGTTCTCCACGGCGTCTCCAGACTCTGTCACGTCTGTCACATGTGCTCAGTGTGAACCTGCTTTCATCTGTGAAGAGCACAGGGCGCCAGTGGCGAATTTGCCAATCTTGGTGTTCTCTGGCAAATGCCAAACGTCCTGCATGGTGTTGGGCTGTAAGCACAACCCCCACCTGTGGACGTCGGGTCCTCATACCACCCTCATGGAGTCTGTTTCTGACCGTTTGAGCAGACACATGCACATTTGTGGCCTGCTGGAGGTCATTTTGCAGGGCTCTGACAGTGCTCCTCCTGCTCCTCCTTGCACAAAGGCGGAGGTAGCAGTCCTGCTGCTGGGTTGTTGCCCTCCTACGGCCTCCTCCACGTCTCCTGATGTACTGGCCTGTCTCCTGGTAGCGCCTCCACGCTCTGGACACTACGCTGACAGACACAGCAAACCTTGCCACAGCTCGCATTGATGTGCCATCCTGGATGAGCTGCACTACCTGAGCCACTTGTGTGGGTTGTAGACTCCGTCTCATGCTACCACTAGAGTGAAAGCACCACCAGCATTCAAAAGTGACCAAAACATCAGCCAGGAAGCATAGGAACTGAGAAGTGGTCTGTGGTCACCACCTGCAAAACCAGTCCTTTATTGGGGGTGTCTTGCTAATTGCCTATAATTTCCACCTGTTGTCTATTCCATTTGCACAACAGTATGTGACATTTGTCAATCAGTGTTGCTTCCTAAGTGGACAGTTTGATTTCACAGAAGTGTGATTGACTTGGAGTTACATTGTGTTGTTTAAGTGTTCCCTTTATTTTTTTGAGCAGTGTACATACATACATATATATATATATACACAGTGCATTCAGAAAATATTCAGACCCTTCCCTTCTTACACATTTTGTTACGTTACAGCCTTATTCTAAAATTGATTAAATAATTTTTCATTCTCATCAATCATCAATCTACACACAATACACCAAGCGAAAACAGGCTTTTAGAAATGTTTGCAAATTTATCAAAAAAACAAAACCCGATGGTCACTGACAGAGCTCCAGAGTTCCTCTGTGGAGATAAGGAAACTTCCGGAAGGACAACCATCTCTTCAGCACTCCACCAATCAGGCCTTTATGGTAGAGTGGCCAGACGGAAGCCACTCCTCAGTAAAAGGCACATGACAGCCCTCTTGGAGTTTGCCAAAAGGCACCTAAAGGACTCTCAGACCATGAGAAAGAAGATTCTCTGGTCTGATGAAACCAAGATTGAACTCTTTGTCCTGAATGCCAAGCATCACGTCTAGAGGAAACCTGGTGGTGGCAGCATCATGCTGTGGGGATGCGACAGGGACTGCGACACTAGTCAGGATCGAGGCAAAGATGAATGGAGCAAAGTACAGAGATCTCCTTGATGAAAACCTGCTCCAGAGCGCTCAGGACCTGACTGGGCCGAAGGTTCACCTTCCAACAGGACAACGACCCTAAGCACACAGCCAAGACAATGCAGGAGTGGCTTCGGGACAAGTCTCTGAATATCCTTGAGTGGCCCAACCAGAGCCTGGACTTGAACCCGATCGAACATCTCTGGAGAAACCTGAAAATAGCTGTGCAGCAACGCTCCCCATCCAACCTGACAGAGCTTGAGAGGATCTGCAGAGAAGAATGGGAGAAACTCCCCAAATACAGGTGTGCCAAGCTTGTAGCGTCATACCCAAGACTCGATGCTGTAATCGCTGCCAATGGTGCTTCAACAAAGTACTGAGTAAAGAGTCTGAATACTTATGTAAACTTTATTTTATTTTATATAAATTAGCAAAATAATCTAAAAACCTGTTTTTGTTTTGTCATTATGGGGTATTGTGTGTAGATTGATGAGGGAAAAACAAACAATTTACCGGTAATCAATTTTAGAATACGGCTGTAACGTAACAAAATGTGGAAAAAGTCAAGGGGTCTGAATACTTTCCAAATGCAACGTATATATAAACTATATTTGACTACCTTGAGTATTTGAAAAGTTGGCCCAGGTCCATTTCACACACAGATCTAGGGTCAGAAACACTATGTCACACAGAGATCTGAACTGTGTATTCTTTGTGTGTGTGTTGTGGGTCTGTAGGTCATGTCTACTGCAACAGAGCAACAGCGGCAGGTAGCTTAGTGGGTAAGAGCGTTGTGCCAGTAACCGAAAGGTCGCTGGTTCTAATCCCCGAGCCGACTAGGTGAAAAATCTGTCGATGTGCCCTTGAGCAAGGCACTTAACCCTAATTGCTCCTGTAAGTCGCTCTGGATAAGAGCGTCTGCTAAATGACAAAAAAAAAAAAAAAAAAAAAAAAGAGGAAGTGGGTGAGGTGAGTGGGCACTGTGTCACACACAACAGCCCCGGATACACACACTATGACACACCTGGACACATACACTACAATGACACAGCCAGAGACACAGACCAGGTGGAGGTGTTGGACTCGTCTCTGTTCCAGTACAGCTCTGAGGTTGAAAAGCTCTTACCGTCTACAGACCAGCACCCCACCACGGGCCAGGTAGTCTGTCTCTCTAAGATTCCGTCTGGCTCTCAGATTCCATGTGGCACTCTTAAGATTATGTCAGGCTCCCTAAGATTCTGTTTGGCTCGCCAATGTTCCACCTGGCTCTCTAAGGTTCTGATTATAACTGTGATGATGTGTGTGTTGCAGGAGTTGGTGATGGAGCAGTCAGAGAAGATAGAAACACTTCCTAATGTGCCCACACACACCTCTATCACACACACTTCTATCACACACACTCTGCCCCCTGAGCACACACACACTGAGGAGCCTCCAACATGGGGCAGAGCCCAGCAGGAGGCTGAGGCTGAGAGGAGGCGCGGAAGTCCACCTGTCGATGAGGAACACACTGATGACCTCACTGCTTTGGGAGCCAATGGAAGTGCTTACTTGGGCTCTGTGGGAGGCAATGAGAGTGCTTACCTGGGCCATGTGGGAGGGGAGAGGGAGGACATGACAGAGCCCTGGGCCCTGAGTAGACCTGCACCCCTTACATCAGCCCAGGAGACCCTCAACACCCCACACACTACTCTAGAGGGAGACAGAATGATGGAGAGAGAGAACACAATAGGGAGTGTGATGGAGAGAGAGAGGACATTGGAGCCAGTCTCTATGATGGAGAGAGAGAGGACATTGGAGCCAGTCTCTATGATGGAGAGAGAGAGGACATTAGAGCCAGTCTCTATGATGGAGAGAGAGGACATTGGAGCCAGTCTCTATGATGGAGAGAGAGACAACGATGCGCAGCCTGGTGGACCTGCAGAGGAAGGTGGAGCAGAAACAACAGAGAGACAGAGAGAGACAATTACTGAGGGTGAGACAACTACTGAGAGTGAGTGGAGGGGATCAAGAGACAGAAGAGAGAGAGAAGGGATAGAATAGACAGGGAGAACTACTGAGGGTATATGTGTGAGAGCTAGCGAGAGAGATATGTACTGAGGGTGGGTTTTAGGAAGAAAGGCACAGCACAAAGAAAAAAATATTATAAAGAGAAATGTCACTGAGGCATGTGACTACTTCCTGTGTATCAGGTCCAGGAGCGGCTGACAATCATGCAGAACAAGAAGTCCCAGGAAGACCTGATGGGCCTCAGACAGACTGACAGACTCAGACACCTCACACATAACCTGCCCCAGGTGACAAACACACACAACCACATGTAATATACCCCGTTGTCAGGCATTGGAGGGGGTGTGTGATTCTGGGCTGTGTGTTTCTGTCAGGCGGATAAGAGCCAGCAGAAGACAGTGGTCAGAGAGAGACTGGAGCAGCTGAGGAGAGAGCGCTCCTATGTCATGCAGTCCAAACGAGACAGGTAACACACACAAGTAATACGTAAGAGATACAGGTAACAAACCAGACTGGTGTCAAGTTCCACCTTTCACTCGTTCTTTATTCTCCCTCCTTCCCTTTTCCTCTCCCTCCTCCCAGGAATACAGCAGGCTTCAAGGAGCTGCTGGGTCCAGTTGGACTCCACAGTGCAGAGACAGACGACACTGCTGACTCACTCAGGCTAGCCACCAACGCAAGCTAATTATGCATCTATGTCACTAGAAATTGGATCAGTATTTGCTGGTTAAAGTCCCGCTCCGGCTGTTCCCCCGCAATCTGTCAGTCGCTACACTACTACCCAACCCGTTCACTAGCCATACTGGTTTCAGTTCAGTAATTTTTTGGGTATGCACAAGTCAGCTTTAATTAAACTTTCTGGCTTCTTCTGTCATTGGCTTATACTGTAGCCTGATGGTAAGTGGATGAACACAAAGAGAGCTGATGGTGACAGTTTATTATACAGTTTAATTGTCATCCTGACAAACATGAGCATCATCAACAATAATAACATCATTTACTAAATAAAGCCTGTCTGTCTGTAGCATGTCCATCCAGTGGCCTATTTAGCATATATACAGTGACAGTCACATGACTACATCTCTACAGTTTAAAGTATCCTCCTATCCACTCCATCTGTACTGATCTGACAGAACTGGACATGAGAAAGGAAATCCATGTGTGGCCTAGTAACGCTATGCTGCTTTCACCTGGATCATGTTCAATAGGGCACACTAAAGCAAAATGTTGAAACTGGAAATGATTGTTTTTCAGGTAGTGTTCCAAAACATTTGTGCCAACTGACCATGACCATGCTGTCTTGTCCCATCAGTGCAGATGAAGAACAGGAATTTGGATAGGAGGGGAGGAGGCAACTGTAGAGTATTGAGATGTGACCATGCACAGGGGCTGGTATTTACAGAGCTAAGAGAATGGAAGTTGAGATGGCATATGTGATAGTTCTACTGGCATGGAGAGTTGTGTATAATACAGAGGTCAGAGGTTAGGGGTTAAAGGTTACATGAAGTTCAACACATTCAGATGTTTTTATCTTTAATTGAACATAAACAGGTCTCCACTTACACTGCCGCTACACACAGAACAAACACCGCTATGAGCAGAGAAGCCAGAACATTCTACAGCAGCTCACACACACACCCAGCTACTAAATCAGGTCACACACACACACACACACACACACACTCAGTTTAGAGTATGCTACTCAAGACACAAGCTCTGTGGTCACACGCACGCATGCACAAAAGCACAATCCTCACACAGAAGAGAAACATGTTCTGACTGAAGGTAAATAAGCCTAAAGATTCAAGCTATTTGATTGGTGGAGAGAAATCTGAACCAGGTAGTCCCGAGGTGCCTCGGCGATGGGAGACGTTTGAGCTTACAGGAAGTGATGCAATAGCTTTCTGTGTGGCTCAGCAGGCTGCCGTGAAGACCAGGGGCTATGGTAGGCCTTTGTTAAATGTGTTTTCAGCATGCCCTGGTGTGTGACTAAGACTAGACTACGACACTGAAGCCTGTTAAGAAGATAAATTAATAATTTCACCAGACAATATTTTCATTTTATACACAAGGTTCCCAAATGACAACGTTTCCAGACAGATGTAGAGCCTACAAACCTAGGATGTCAAATGGTCACTAAACATCCAGCACAGCCTGCTGACCACACCCAAACACACACACTGATTGGCTGATGGAGGAATGAAGCGGATGGAGGGTCCTGATGGGACCTGGAGGAGGGGCAGTAGAGGGGTGCCCTTCTCTCAGTACTCAACAGATGGGCACACAGACTAGCGAGAGAAGGGTGTGTATGTATGGTGTGTGTGTATTCAGTCTACTGGTGGGCACACTGTACCCCCGGGCCATGTGGTCCCCCCTCCTCATCAGAGCTGTCATTGTAGGCCTCTCTCCTGGCCCCCGCTGACCCCTGACCTCTGACCTCACAGTCCTGGAGGTCAACCTCTTCCGCCTCCGATGAGATGACTGGAACCTCCGCACGTGCAGGCAGCAGATCCTCTAACTCCTAAAAACACAAGCAAAACACACATTCTGTATATCTCAGTACCAGGTTAGCCGGTAATAGCCGGCTTTTGGATGATAAAAACAATGAAAAGTCAATAAATAAAATTGGCGCTGGCCAATTGTCTTGGGGGGAAAAAAAATCCCATTGAAAAACAATGCTATTTAGCCCATTCATTGATGAAAATACCAGTCGATGTAAATACATTTGACCGGTCATGCTTATCGGAAAATCAGTCAGACAATGTGAGAGCTGCTGCTACAGCTCCTGTTGCTGCTGGAGTGAAACATGATTTTATAAGCCCAATCATTGTGCAACAATTCTAAATGAATGAATGTGTTAACTGTTTTGATAGCCACCATTAACAATAGCTACTGTTTTTATTTCTCAACTGGTAATTGAAGTGCACTTCCCATTCAAATGCCTTCAGAAAGTACTCACACGTTGACTTTCTCCACATTTTGTTAATACAGACTGAATTTAAAATGGATTACATTTTAGAAGAAAAAAAATGTGTCACTGGCCAACACACAATTCCCCATCATGTCAAGGTATAATTGTGTTTTTAGACATTTTTACAAATTAAAAATGAAAAGCTGAAATGTCTTGAGTCAATAAGTATTCAACCCCTTTGTTATGGCAAACCAAAATAAGTTCAGGAGTAAAAATTGTAGTAAAAATGGTAGTGGGGTTGGAGTAAAGGGGGGGGGGGGGGGGGTAGAAGGATTACTTTATCCTATCCCAGGTATTCCTTAAAGAGGTGGGGTTTCAAATGTCTCCGGAAGGTGGTGAGTGACTCCGCTGTCCTGGCGTCGTGAGGGAGCTTGTCCCACCATTGGGGTGCCAGAGCAGCGAACAGTTTTGACTGGGCTGAGCGGGAACTATGCTTCCGCAGAGGTAGGGGAGCCAGCAGGCCAGAGGTGGATGAACGCAGTGCCCTCGTTTGGGTGTAGGGACTGATCAGAGCCTGAAGGCGTTCTGTCTGATGCTGTCTGGTACCAACGAGTATGACATTGTTGCTGCCCGTAGCATTGAAGGCAAGGGAAGTCAGCGAGCATCTGGCCTCCCTTGATAAAAAGTATACAAAAATGTGCCAATCAGCATTGAGTTAAACTGAGCGAGCTCAATTGTGAATAGTGCTGGCGCAACAACAAAAAAGTGTCAGGGGAAGCTAGCTTGGATTTTGGCATCACTTCTATCAAATCCCATTGAGAGCATACGTCATTGACAGAAAAACTTGAATTGTTGCATCTCTTTGTGTTGTTGTCCTCCGGTGGCTGGCTAGCTAGCTAAAATGGGCCCTTTCCTAAATTAGCCATGTATGGAGATAGTGGTTTTACTTAATTCTCCATACTGGCCAATGATTATAACGGCTATTCTGATCCAACCATTATCTCATACATTGTTGTGCCCCTGGCCTGAGAGGATGGAAGTTCAATATGTAGCTAGATGTAGAAGGCCCTGGGAGAGTGGTGCCAGGAAAATAACCTCTCACTCAACGTCAACAAAAGGAGATGATCGTGGACTTCAGGAAACAGCAGAGGGAGCACGCCCCTATCCACATCGACGGTGGAAAGCTTCAAGTTCCTCGGCGTACACATCACTGACTATCTGAAATGGTCCACCCACACAGACAGTGTGGTGAAGAAGGCGCAACAGTGCCTCTTCAACCTCAGAAGGCTGAAGAAATTTGGCTTGGCACCTAAAACCCTCAAACTTTTACAGATGCACAATTGAGAGCATCCTGTCGGACTGTATCACCGCCTGGTACGGCAACTATAAATACAAATAAAAGTATTGCCTATAGATTATTTAATGAAACCCTGGCTGGCTGTTGATGTCCTAGGTCAGGGCACTCCAACCCTGTTCCTGGAGCGCTACAAACCTTCCTGTAGGTTTCTGCTCCAACCCCAGTTGTAACTAACCTGATTGAGCTAGATTAGGGTTGGAATGAAAACCTACAGGATGGTGGCTCTCCACAAACAGGGGTTGGAGAGCCCTGTCCAAGGCAATAGATCGCAAAGCAGTATCCTCGCTAAACTTTTTGGAAATGGCAAGTTCACTTTCTCATCCATAAACACAGTCAAATGCAAATACAGTTCAGCAGCTCAAATCAGCAGGATGTGGGGCATTGTTATTAGGAAGGACATCTACCATGGATGGATCGCTAAAATAATTATGACCACACTTCATCAATTTAAATATTATGGGGAGACCTATACATTTGGCAGTGTAGAGCATTATCATCTAGACAAGACGTTGAAATTAATGAAATATCTTCACACCTACAATAAAAACCTCCAGGCTTCTGTCATAAGAGTAAAAAATTAAAATTACAGGGGGCAGTTTGGAAAAACTAATCCTGTGTGTATTGTCCTCTGGAATACCACACATGCTTGGATAATAATTACAAAACCAACGTCTCTAGTAATGCCCGTCCAAATAGGGCTATAACATGCCAAAGAACAGGTTTGTCAGAATAGAGTGCGCCGCATCATCCCGTGGGATCCGTCAAGGCTGCACACAGCAGAAATATTACTGAAATATTATAGTTCCTACATATCACCTTCTATAAAAAGAAAAAAAGAAGAAAAAAAAAAAGAGGCATTTTTTAGGCCAAAGGGCAGCATCATGCTCATGTCAGTCCTCTAGAACACAAATGTAGTCTCCCTAGTAGGACTGCAATAATGAGATGGTGTGTATGTGTGTGCGCATCCGTATTAGTGTGTTTTGTGAGTTGAGGAAGAGTCGACTCCTACAACTTGTTGGTGTAATCTTTGCAGATTTTTATTTATTTGGGCTGGTAAAAAGTCTGAGCGTCTGGCAGATTTTTTAAAATCTACCTGCTACAGTGGCTAGTGGACCAAAAAGTTAATTGTATGCCCTGCTCTGTGTGCAATAAGTGTTTAACATGATTTTTTAATGACTACCTCATCTCTTTACCCCACACATACAATTATCTGTAAGGTCCTTCAGTTGAGCAGTGAATTTCAAACACAGATTCAACCACAAAGACCAGGGAGGTTTTTCAATGCCTCGCAAAGAAAGGCACCCATTGGTAGCTGGGTAAAAAATAAAGCAGACATTTAATATCCCTTTGAGCATGGTGAAGTTATTAATTACACGTTGGATGGTGTATCAATGCACCCAGTCACTACAACGATACGGTTGCCGAAAAGGAAGGAAACCGCTCAGGGATTTCACCATGAGGCCAATGGTGACTTTAAAATAGAGTTTAATGGCTGCGATAGGAGAAAACTGAGGACTGATCAACAACATTGTAGTTACTCCACAATACTAACCTAAACGACAGAGTGAAAAGAACAAAGCCTGTACAGACAAAAAAATATTTTTGCAACAAGGCACTAAAGTAATATTGCAAAAAATGTGGCAAAGCAATTAACTTTTTGTCCTGAATAAAAAAAAAATATGTTTGGGGCAAATCCAATACAACACATTACGGAGTACCACTCACCATATTTTCAAGCATAGTGTTGGCTGCATCATGTTATGGGTATGATTGTAATTGTTAAGGACTGGGGAGCTTTTCAGGATAAAAAATAAACTGAATGGAGCTAAGCACAGGCAAAATCCTTGAGGAAAACCTGGTTAAGTCTGCTTTCCACCAGACACTGGGAGATTCATTCACCTTTCAGCAGGACAATAACCTAAAACACAAGGCCAAATCTACACTGGACACTACATTTGACAGTGCTTGAAATTTTTTGAAAAGAATAATGGCAAATGTTGCACAATCCAGGTGTGTTAAGCTCTTAGAGACTTACCCAGAAAGTCACAGCTGTAATAGCTGCCAAAGGTGCTTCTACAAAGTATTGACTCAGGGGTGTGAATACTTATGTAAATGAATATCAGTTTTTCATTTTCAATAACATTTGCTAACATTTTTAAAAACATGTTTTCACTGTCATTATGGGGTATTTTGTGTAGTTGGGTGAGATTTTTTTTTACTCCTGAACTTATTTAGGCTTGTAATAACATAGGGGGTGAATACTTATTGACTCAAGACATTTCATCTTTTCATTATGGGGTATTGTGGGTAGGCCAGTGACACAAAATCTAAAATTGAATCATTTTTAAATTCAGGCTGTAACACAACAAAATGTAGAATAAGTCAAGGGGTACGAATACTTTCTGAAGGCACTGTAACGGTAAACTGCCTAGAACGCGTCACACACCACTTTGCAATGAGCTGGAGGTAGTATGAATTTTGAAAACATATACTTAATGGTTTGAAACCTTAACATTTTACTACATATTATGAGGCATGTTTACCTTGCTTCAAAGTAGCCTAGCCCCTCTGTGTCTCACTCACTCACTCAACTGCGTTCCGACTGCTCCCTCTATACACGCGTGTTGAATGCGCCTACAGAAATAAATGCCTATAAAAACGCATCTAACTGATGGGATAAACAAGCTACGTTCCTTGCCAAATGATGACAGTTAAATCACAAATTCAAAATGGACTGGTTGACTGAAGTAGGGAAATATGTGTTCCAATAATGAGCTGCAATTCTGGAACAATTGCGTCATTTTCGACTTACACGCCGACTACACCTCGCACGCGCGTGCGCCATCGCGCCGCATGTTGATTTTGTCCATCCACACCAGACGCGATCAGGAACAAGCAGGTTGAAATATCAAAACGAACTCTGAACCAATTATATTAATTTGGGAAGAGATCGAAACACATGAACCATTCATGGACATTTAGCTAGCTAATTTGTCATGGGATATAAACATTGGGTTGTTATTTTACCTGAAATGCACAAGGTCCTTTTTTTCTGGATCTTTGTAGAATTTTGACCCATTTTGAGTGACACACACAATCGTGGGGGGAATGTAGTTTCTAGTAAATGGGGAAATGTAGTTTCTAGTAATCTCTCCTCCTTCGGTTGTCGTCTTCTTCTTCGTCTGTGGACTTTATATGGCGGTTGGCAACCAACTTCAAGGTGCATTACCACCACCAACTGAACTGGAGTGTGGACCTCAGTTCATCTTTCAATCACCCACGTGGGTATATGCTCCTAAAAACCAATGAGGAGATGGGAGAGGCGGGACTTGCAGCGCATCAAGAGTCAAAACTAGAACCAAGTTCTATTTTAGCACCTGGCTACGCAGACGCTCGTTAACGCGCGCGAGCAGTTTGGGTTAAATGATTGAATAACGTGTACATTTATTTTGCAACGCTCAAGCACGCAACACCGGCGGTGTGGTCAGCATGTTAGGCTACTTTGCGGTTGTCACTAGTTACCACAGCCACAAAGTCAAAATCGATATAAGGTAAAAACTCGTGAAAACAAAAATGTGCTTTTTGGTCTTAATTTAAGGTTAGGGTTTGGCATAAGGTTAAGAGTTGTTTAAAAATCAGATTTTAAGAAGAGAAATTGTAGAAACCGGTGGGGTTTATTACTTTGTGGCTGTAGTAACTAGTGACGACCCTACTTTGCAAACTGCTAGCGCAATCTAAAATTGGTTAGCCTATAACCCCACTAAATATAGACAGGTTCCAGACTAAAAATATCCTAAAACAAAGATCGTATTTTCCATCAGAATCATTAAGCATAGGCCTACTCATCAAGCAGATGTCATGGCCATAATTCATCCCCATGCAGTGTTCAATGTGGAATTGTTAATCCATTTAGAAAATTCCAAAATAACATAATAAATTAAATTAAATGTCTGTATCTCGAAAAGAAGACCGATTTCGGATGTAACCCTGACAAATGTGTCTTTCAACTCGACAAATTGTGCCCCATTTCAAATTATCACTCTTTGAGAATAACTGTTCATCACTTCTGTTCCATTTTATTTGGTTATATTACATCATGGTTTTTTAAAACTATAAAATAGGTCTGTCTTGACTGTGATAATGGCTAGGGAAATAAGAGCTTCTACAAGCAAGTGCCACACTGCTGAGGTTAGTACCTTTTTGAAGATTGTGTTCCACTATATAATATAAAAACTTGATATGAGGGCCTTCCAAGTGGCAAAGCAGTCTAAGGCACTGCATCGCAGTGCTTGAGGCGTCACTACAGACCCGGTTTCGATCCCAGGCTGTGTCACAACAGGCTGGGCGGCGCATAATTGGCCCAGCGTCGTCCAGGTTAGGGGAGATGGGGGGAAAAGGTCCAGTTTTACTAAGCAACAAGTAGGAATGGTTGGTGAGCTGCTCAGGATACGGTAAAGGAACTAGGTAGCCAACATAGTATGTCTCTGTGAATAATTCTGCCTTCAATTATCATAACACACTGACCTATGTTCAAAGTTGTCTTCTAGCCTACTCTTCTTCATCAGGAGTTCATCAGGTGACTAGTTAACTTTAGCTTGGCTCTCTCTGTGTGTTCGTGCCGTGGGAGGAGGGGTTTCTTCTTTGTCTGAAAGCAATGGCTAGCTAGTATGCTAACTATTCTAGCTAACTAACTGGCTGAATAAGTTGACGACGGACTCGCTCAAGCTGTCGGGACTAACCCACAACGTTAGACACGGACACGAATGATCTGCTTGGCGTGTTGACACACTGGTGGTTTGTTGTGGACGAGTATTGGTGCTAAACCGTGTTGTTGGAGTCCGACATGCTAGTTGGCTGTGGTGTCATATGACTAGGTGCCCTGGACGATTTTCACGGAAGAATACTGTACCAAGTTAGCTAGCTGAATAAACTAAGTTAGTCTATTCCTAGAAAACATTGAACCGCAGTAGTTTACAACAATTATAGTTTCTGAGGTGGAAGTTGGGAGAGTTATAATTGGGTGTTTCAGTGAAACGTAAGTGAGGGAGGCCCCGCTCTCTCCTTTCCCAGATGTTTAGTTCATTTCATTCCGATCTCCTTTGCATTATTGTAGCCATTTTCTGTAGCCTGTCAACTATGCCTCTTTCTATCCCTGTTCTCTCCTCTCCGCACAGGCTATACAAACGCCTCACACCGCGTGGCTGCTGCCTCTCTAACCTGGTGGTCCCTGCACGCACCACCCACGTGGAGTTCCAGGTCTCAGGCAGCCTCTGGAACTGCCGTTCTGCTGCCAACAAGGCAGAGTTCATCTCAGCCTATGCTACCCTCCAGTCCCTCGACTTCTTGGCGCTGACGGAAACATGGATTACCACTGAAAACACTGCTACTCCTACTGCTCTCTCCTCATCTGACCATGTGTTCTCGCATACCCCGAGAGCATCTGGTCAGCGGGGTGGTGGCACAGGAATCCTCATCTCTCTTTTTCCCCTGACCCATCTGTCTATCTCCTCATTTGAATTCCATGCTGTCACAGTCACTAGCCCATTCAAGCTTAACATCCTTGTCATTTATCGCCCTCCAGGTTCCCTTGGAGAGTTCATCAATGAGCTTGACGCCTTGATAAGTTCCTTTCCTGAGGATGGCTCACCCCTCACAGTTCTGGGTGTCTTCAACCTCCCTACGTCTACCTTTGACTCATTTCTCTCTGCCTCCTTCTTTCCACTCCTCTCCTCTTTTGACATCACCCTCTCACCGTCCCCCCCTACTCACAAGGCAGGCAATACGCTTGACCTCATCTTTACTAGATGCTGTTCTTCTACTAATCTCACTGCAACTCCCCTCCATGTCTCCGACCACTACTTTGTATCCTTTTCCCTCTCGCTCTCCTCCAACACTACTCACTCTGCCCTTACTCAGATGGTAATGCGCCGTCGCAACCTTCGCTCTCTCTCTCCCGCTACTCTCTCCTCTTCCATCCTATCATCTCTTCCCTCTGCTCAATCCTTTGAAAAGAAGGTTGACGACATCCGATCCTCGTTTGTTAAGTCAAATGACACTGCTGGTCCTGCTCACACTGCCCTACCCTATGCTTTGACTTCTTTCTCCCCTCTCTCTCTCCAGATAAAATCTTGCGACTTGTGACGGCCGGCTGCCAAACAACCTGCCCGCTTGACCCTATCCCCTCCTCTTCTCCAGACCATCTCCGGTGACCTTCTCCCTTACCTCACCTCGCTCATCAACTCATCCTTGACCGCTGGCTATGTCCCTTCCGTCTTCAAGAGAGCGAGAGTTGCACCCCTTCTCAAAAAACCAACACTCGATCCCTCTGATGTCAACAACTACAGACCAGTATCCCTTCTTTCTTTTCTCTCCAAAACTCTTGAACGTGCCGTCTTTAGCCAACTCTCTTGCTATCTCTCTCAGAATGACCTTCTTGATCCAAACCAGTCAGGTTTCAAGACTGGTCATTCAACTGAGACTGCTTTTCTCTGTGTCACGGAGGCTCTCCGCACTGCTAAAGCTAACTCTCTCTCCTCTGCTCTTGTCCTTCTAGACCTGTCTGCTGCCTTTGATACTGTGAACCATCAGATCCTCCTCTCCACCCTCTCAGAGCTGGGCATCTCCGGCGCGGCTCACTCTTGGATTGCGTCCTACCTGACCGGTCGCTCCTACCAAGTGGCGTGGCGAGAATCTGTCTCCGCACCACCTGCTCTCACCACTGGTGTCCCCCAGGGCTCAGTTCTAGGCCCTCTCCTATTCTCGCTATACACCAAGTCACTTGGCTCTGTCATATCCTCACATGGCCTCTCCTATCATTGCTACGCAGACGACAAACAACTAATCTTCTCCTTTCCCCCTTCTGATAACCAGGTGGCGAATTGCATCTCTGCATGTCTGGCAGACATATCAGTGTGGATGACGGATCACCACCTCAAGCTGAACCTCGGCAAGACGGAGCTGCTCTTCCTCCCGGGGAAGGACTGCCCGTTCCATGATCTCGCCATCACGGTTGACAACTCCGTTGTGTCCTCCTCCCAGGGTGCGAAGAGCCTTGGCGTGACCCTGGACAACACCCTGTCGTTCTCCGCTAACATCAAGGCGGTGACCCGATCCTGTAGGTTCATGCTCTACAACATTCGGAGAGTACGACCCTGCCTTACACAGGAAGCGGCACAGGTCCTAATCCAGGCACTTGTCATCTCCCGTCTGGATTACTGCAACTCGCTGCTGGCTGGGCTCCCTGCCTGTGCCATTAAACCCCTACAACTCATCCAGAATGCTGCAGCCCGTCTGGTGTTCAACCTTCCCAAGTTCTCTCACGTCACCCCGCTCCTCCGCACACTCCACTGGCTTCCAGTTGAAGCTCGCATCTGCTACAAGACCATGGTGCTTGCCTACGGAGCTGTGAGGGGAACGGCACCTCCGTATCTTCAGGCTCTGATCAGGCTATTTCTTTCTTGCACAGAATGACAAGCTGACCAATTGATTAAGTAAATTGTTCTACTATGGGGGATAGTACATTGACATAGACTAGTAATTTTGCTGTTCATTTCTCATCTTATTGTGCATCGGAATTCGGTAAGAAGGACGCACGTAGTTGCATCCTCGACTTGTTCTGTTAAGATGAATTACCATAATCTAAATGTGATTTCTGTCATTCTGAGCACTGTGGGTTGACGCCCTAATTAGGTTATGCACCCAATGCATATGGGACCGGTAACTTCTTAGAATGTACGGTAAATTAAAATGCTACCAGTCAAATGTCCGGCGGCTCTTCATTTTCCTAATGGAAACCCTGCTCAGTACAATCATGTAGACAAAGTGATGGTTGAGACAATGAGTAATGTCTTGGACTGTGAACTAAGTGGTTGGGCACCTTAGGCAGGCCATTTGGTTCTTAGAGGTACTCACGGAGAGTTTCTCAGGGCTGATCCAGTTGTTTTCAGGGAACTGGACGTCAAACTTGATGAACAGATCTCCCTTCTCAAAGGGGTTCCTGTACTGAGGCATCCCCTCTCCCTTCACCACCCGGATACAACCTGACACAAACACACACAATCATCAATTTAATGATACAGGTCGGACCAAATAGATATATACTTGTGGTGGTGTGTGTGTACCTGGCTCTATAACCTTGCCGGGGGGATATTTGACAGCGAGCTGGCGTCCGTCGAGGTGTGTGACTGCCAGCTGGAAGCCACACAGAGCTTCCACCAGGCCGATACGCTGCGTCATGTGGAGGTCATGGCCATCACGACGGAACCCCTGCAGAACACACACACACAATGAACACTTTCTCAGTACTTTGATCTAACCTCTCTGAATGACAAGTGGGCGAGAGTTTCAGGAATGTCTCAAACTCAGGAGATGTGAATTGAGGGCCACCTTCATGGAGGAACCTAAGGAATTTCCAAACACTTCACTAGTAGAGGTTTCCAGTAGTTTGTTTAAGTCTTCAAGTACTCTCTGCTACAGTGTGTGAGTGAGTGAGGGAATGAGAGAGATTATTACCTCATGCTCCTTCTCCTGTAGGACCAGTAGTATGTCTCCAGGCTCAGTGCCTGGGGCCTGGTCAGCCTCTCCTGTGAAGCTGATCTTCTGGCCGTGTTTCATGCCTTTATCAACATGGACCTCCAACAGCTTGGTCTCCTTGTTCACCTTACGACCCTCACACTTCTTACAGCGGTCCTTCTCACTGATCACCTCCCCTACACAAAAACATCAGACGGATTAGTTTCCTATCAAAAAATGTGTTTCAATAGTGTATTCATAAAATTGCAGACTATGTGAATGTCTGTTGTCCTACCCTCTCCGTTGCAGTCTGTGCAGACTGACTGCATCTGTTGGACCATGCCAGGAGCCAGCTGTCTGATCATGATCCTCATGCCTCTCCCTCTGCAGGCCACACACTTCTGCACCGCCCCCGCTTTACCCCCCGCACTGGAGACGGACCAAAGACAGGAGTAAAGTATCACATTAATCAATATAGCTCATGTTAAAGATGTGATTTATTTAAAAAAGTGGAGTAGCCCGGTACTTCACATGAAATACATTCTTTAAAAGTGTGTAGACTCACCCATTGCAGGAAGCACACAGGACATTCTTGCTGAGCTGTAGTTTGGTTGTTTTACCATTGTAGAGGTCTTCCAGTGAAACTCTGTTAGACAGGTAGGCAGGGTTAGGTAAGGCATAACCAACAATGTCTGGATGGAAGACTAGAGAAGTGAAGGGAGAGTAACTGTCACTCACTTGAGGGGGTGCACCATGTCCTCTCCTCTCCTGCGTCCCCCGTTGCGTCCTCCCCCTCCACGTCCCTGCCCCCCCATAAAGCCAAACAGCCCCCCTCCAAAGATGTGGGAGAAGATGTCGTCCATACCAGCCCCTCCACCACCTCCCTCCCGCAGTCCCTGCTCACCATAGCGGTCATACAGCTCCTTCTTCTCTGGATTGGTCAGCACCTCATAAGCAAAACTGATCTCCTTAAACTGGGAGAGAAGGGGTGAACCATTAGGGACCTGCCATTCTTTATCATAACTACCTCCCACAGACATTCTAAAACCTCAGGTGACATTTTCCCACTGTTTACTTTAAATCTGCATGAACAATCACCACATGCAGTTGTCTCACAGATACTCCCCTCCCATCTCAATAGTCTAATGTGGTTTACTTTCCTCTCCTCGTCCATCTGCACTGATGTTACACAGGACAGTTGAGAGATGCAGAACATGCCGGTTGGGAATTGGCTTTCACCTGCCAGTTCTCTCAAGTCAGTGCTGTAGATGAATCAGATGAGACCAGGAGAGAGAAGGAGCCTGTACAGACTAGCCAGGTGCACTCCTGCTCTGGACAGGAGGCCATTTGAGTAATACCAAAGTCAATTAATACCCGTCTTGGTTACTGCTCAATACAGATAGGCCTGTGTAATGGTACTACCATGGCTGGTGATCGTGATGTGGCGTGTTTAGTGTGTTGCATGTGTGGTGTTGTGATTCGTTGTGTGCTGTGTCACATGTTGTGATTGTGTTGTGTGTATAACCACCTGCCTCTTACCTTGTCCCCGGCATCTGGGTTCTTATCAGGGTGGTACTCTTTGGCCAACTTTCGGTATGCCTGCACACACAAAAGAGACATAACTACATCAGTTACTGTCTCTGGGCTGTTATAGGGCCAACATTTTTCTAACTGCGTAGCTTTACACTGCTGCTGCGGCAAGAGCAACACTTGGTGAATCTGAAAATCTTCCAGCTAGCTAATAGGCTAACCAGACAAATGAGATACATTCTAATCGTATGTACTAACCGGCTATAGCTAACTACTGTAGCTAGCTAGCTAACACATAGCCGAACTAGTACCGCTATGTTTCTACTCTGACAGCTTTGTTTTCCTCACGCTAACGTTAAACCAGCTAGCTACTGCAGCTAACGTTGCAGTTTTGTTTTCCTTACGCTGTACTGCAGCTAACTTCGAGCAGCAGTCTCCAGTGTACCGTCTAGCAACGATCGGTCTCTGCCTGGGATAACGAACGTTACTTTTCTATGCATTAAGGAAGGCCTAACATTAGTTTCCCAGGTATAAAATAAATCTAACCAAATTCCTAACAGCTAACTAGTTAGCTAGCTACCTTAGATCGAGTTGTCAATAAGAGAAAGACACAGCTAGCTTTTCATTATATATTTGCTCCAGAAATATGCACTGTCTAACTCGCAAGGCTAGTTAGCTTAGCATCTGAACAGTGTTGGCAAGGCCACATCAACCCTGTTTTGCTGTCTAATTATTCACAAACATGTCTGTCTGTGTGTGTGTGTGTAGGCACTGTGGTGGTGTTATTTTGTTAACCATAATAACACAAGTCACGTACCTTCTTTAGCTCGTTCTCGGAGGCGGAGGGTGAAACTCCGAGGATGTCGTATAGCTTGGTATCCACAACGTTGGCCATAATGCTCGCTAGCTAGTAGGGCTACACAGAAAGACCTGCCGAATTACTGATGAAAGAAAACGAGAGAAGACAAGCCGGGTGGAAACGTCATACGCAATGCGTCAATTTGAGTCAGCGCGCTGTCAGTCAGCTGATATGCTCCAGAGAGATAGCAGAGATGATGGGGTGTCATGTACTGTTAGCTACAAACATAAATATTTACCCGTGTAACATTATCTCTAGGCTAACAGTTCTAGCTTTGGATAACGCCGGCTTGTCAATTTTGGAAGTATCCTTCTGACTGTGTCACCTAGTTAGCATTTTTACTAATCTCCTATTGTAAATAATCCGTCAGGTCGGGGGCATGCATATAGCTGTTTGAGAGCTATGGTTTAATGGTGCTACCCATACTGTTGGGAATTGTAATATTCAGCGGTCTCTCTACTCTATGCCACAACGATAAGCCACACGTGCCCTTAGCTACCGTCTTTTAATTGTGCGCGTTCCCGCAATAGTGTCCGCCATTTTGATAAAAAAAAGATGACCGCATCCTTGTCTGTCTTGCTCCAATCTTGAGGGTAAAAGCGACAATTCATTTACTGGCGCTGGGATTAATTGTACTATACACGGGTGGAAGGGTCAGGCAGCCTCTGGTGAGCTGTCAAAGAAACACTCGCCAGATTACTGACAGATTTGGTTGATGGGACGTGCAGCTCCAGTTGACTGGTTGGAACATAAACAAACTGCTCAACTAGCTACTTTAGCAGACTGACACTGACGCCCTGGAGCTAAATTACAAGGTAGGTGCTTGTCGTAGCTGTGACATGGAAACATTGCAATAATCAGCCTGGCTAGCTATACAAGTAGTCTAATTAGCTAGCTAGCTAGCTAGCTAGCTAGCTAGCTAGCTAACAATATCCTACTAGCTAATATGGTCAGACATCTTTGACGGTAATTGACAGCTAGCTAGCCACCTTGCTACGCAGCACAGCTTCCTAATCTTGAAGATTAGGAGAGTCAGAGTTGTGTGTATGTGCTGGAACACACTGATTCTCTCTCCCTTTTTCGGGTTGCAGACAGTTTGTCGGTGTGTGCCAATGGTGTGAGTAATCGTCCATGCAGATGACCATTCCTTCCTTGGTCTTTAAGACAAATGACTGAAGAGGTCTGACCAAGGACACACATTACTTAGGTAAGAACTCACACACATTCTCACTTAAAGGTGCAATCTAACCTATACAGTGAGCACCATAATTCATTGGACAGTGACATTTTATTTGTTATTTTGATTCTGTACTCTAGCACTTTGAGTTTGAAAGTATACAGTGACAATGAGGGTGCAGTGCAGACTGTCAGCTTTAATTTGAGGGTATTTTCATACATATCGGATGAACCGTTTAGAAATTATAGAAGCTTTTGTACATGGTCCCCCCCATTTTCGGGCATAAAAAAACATTGGACAGTTTAACATAATGTAGAATAAAGTAATTTTTGTTAATATTTGGTCGCATATCCTTTGCATGCAATGACTGCTTGAAGTCTGCGATGCATCGACATCACCAGACGCTGGGTATCTTCCCTGGTGATGCTCTGCCAGGCCTGTACTGCAGCCATCTTCAGTTCCTGCTTGTTTTGGGGACTTATTGCCTTCAGTCTCCTCTTCAGCATGTAAAATGCATGTCCAATTGGATTCAGATCCGGTGATTGACTCGGCCAGTCAAGGATTTTCCACTTTTTGGCCATCAAAAACCCCTTCGTTGCTCTAGCAGTATGTTTAGGGTCATTGTCTTGTTGCATGATGAAGTGCCGTCCAATGAGTTTGGAGGCATTTGGTTTTATCTGAGCAGATCAAATATTTCTGTAGACTTCAGAATTCATTGTTCTACTTCTGTCTGCAGTCACATCATCGATGAAGACAAGTGAGCCTGTTCTACTGGCAGCCATACAGGCCCAAGCCATAACACCCACTCCACCATGTTTCACGGATGAGGTGGTATGCTTTGGATCATGGGCATTTCTTTTTTTTCTCCACACTTTCCTCTTTCCATCACTCTGGTACATGTTAATCTTTGTCTCATCTGTCCACAATACTTTTTTCCAGAACTCTTGGGGCTCCTTTAGGTGCTTTTTAGCAAACTGTAATCTCGCCTTTCTGTTCTTCAGGCTTATCAGTGGTTTGCATCTTGTAGTGTACCCTCTGTAGTCCTGCTGGTGTAGTCTTCTACGTATGGTAGACTTTGACACATCTACACCTGCATCCAGGAGAGGGTTTTTGATCTGTTGGGCTGTTGTCAGGGGGGTTTTCTTCACCATAGAGAGTATTCTCCGGTCATCCACTACAGTGGTCTTCCTCGGTCTACCGGGTCTTTTGACATAATTGAGTTCACCGGTTGTTTTTTTCTTGTTAATGATGTACCAAACTGTTGACTTGGGCATGGCCAGGGTTTTTGCAATGTTCCTGATTGATTGATTTTCATTTCTGAGCCTTATGACGGCCAGCTTCATTTGCATCGACACTGCTGTCTTCCTCATGTTGTCACATCCCAACAACAACCTCCAAAGACAATAGCAAAGTCTAGAATCAATACTATTCATCAACAGCTCTCCTGCATTCACTAACGACACAAATGAATACACCTGCCTAACGACACAAATCTGTGAAGCCAATTGAACAAATACTTGTAGTACCTTAAAATGGGGGGACCATGTACAAAAACTTCCATAATTTCTAAACGGTTCATCCGATATGTATGAAAATACCCTCAAATTAAAGCTGACAGTCTGCACTTCACCCTCATTGTCATTGTATCGCAAAGTGCTAGAGTACAGAATCAAAATAACAAAAAAAATGGTCACTGTCCAATGAATTATGGTGCTCACTGTATCTGTTTTACTTCGGGTTTAAAGTGCTTCCTCTGTAAACTTGGGGGGGGGGGGGGGGGGGGGTCTGGCTGTCCCCCCTTCCCCTGCTCAAGCAACCCCCCTCCTCCCATCTTCCCTGAGTAAGACCATGGGAAACTAACCTCATCACACTCAAGACCAAACAGGAAATGTAAAGTTGCAAAACCTTTGATACACAGTAAAGTTGGTGAGGATGACTTTCTATTCACTGTTTCTCCTCCTAGCAGCAGCAGCTATGTTCTGGAAGTTTGACCTGCACACGTCGTCCCAGCTAGAGGCCCTGCTGGAGAAGGATGATGTCACACTCACTGAGCTCATGGAGGAGGAGGACGTACTGCAGGAGTGCAAGGCCCAGAACCGCAGGTTAGCCTTTAGCATTAACACCTGCCATAGAAAGCACACTGTTTATTAGCATAAGTTTTAGCATTTCCAATAGGAAATGGTGTCATGCTAATGCTAACGAGTGTCTCTTGGCTCCTCTCTGGGCCCAAGGCTGCTGGTCTTCCTGTCCCAGGACACCTGCATGCAGGAGCTGCTGCACCTCATCACCACAGAGCCCCCTGCTGGCCTGGAAGAAACAAGACGTTTTAAGTGAGTACATTTACATTTTAGTCATTTAGCAGACGCTCTTATCCAGAGCGACTTACAGGAGCAATTAGGGTTAAGTGCCTTGCTCAAGGGCACATCGACAGATTTTTCACCTAGTCGGCTCGGGGATTAGAACCAGAGACCTTTCGGTTACTGGCACAACGCTCTTAACCACTAAGCTACCTGCCACCCTAACAAGACACTAGTGATCACCCTTGTGCAGAAAATATAATTGACTTATTCAAATAATATTCGCTGAGGCTGATTTTTTTTTTCATCACTCACAGCCAAAGATGTTAACATTTTATATTAATTCAATGTCAGCCATGTTTTCACCTCCACAATTGCAGCATTCATCAAAGAACAGTAGCATTGATGAAGTGAATTTCGTTTCTCCATCCAACATACAGGTCAGACGTGCACCAACCACTCCATCGATGTCTTCAGTAATATCCTCTGCCTTTATTTCTTGCGCCACCCCAGAAATAACCCCCTTGATATGCGCCCGGTTACGAAAACCCATGCAGGAAACATTCCACTCCGATATCTTTGAATCTTAAAACACGCTTCTTCTGCTCCGCAGACACACACATCTAAATAAAACCACTTCTTGTGACTCACGGACTCCACACTTTCCTCCAACACATTCCAGATTTTCCTCGAGACATTAAACGGATTTCCCAAATAGCATTGATCCAAAACCCTCACTGCGACTAAACGAATCGTGGTTTGATATTTTCCACCACAGCTTTACTTCTCCTTTCCTTTGTTCTTCACCCCTGTAACCCACTCATTCTCACTTTCTGTACTATTAGCTTCACCCGACTGACTAGACCAGGGATCATCAACTAGATTCAGTCGCGGGCAGATTTTTTTCTTGAGTGGGTGTTTGGGGGGCCGGAACATAATTATAAATAATTTATAGACCACAAGAAACCCAAACAGATATAATATTTCACTAAAAGTTAACCATTTCAAACCTTGCTTACATTTACAGTGAGGGAAAAAAGTATTTGATCCCCTGCTGATTTTGTACGTTTGCCCACTGACAAAGACATGATCAGTCTATAATTTTAATGGTAGGTTTATTTGAACAGTGAGAGACAGAATAACAACAACAAAAATCCAGAAAAATGCATGTAAAAAATGTTATAAATTGATTTGCATTTTAATGCGGGAAATAAGTATTTGACCCCTCTGCAAAACATGACTTAGTACTTGGTGATAAAACCCTTGTTGGCAATCACAGAGGTCAGACGTTTCTTGTAGTTGGCCACCAGGTTTGCACACATCTCAGGAGGGATTTTGTCCCACTCCTCTTTGCAGATCTTCTACAAGTCTTTAAGGTTTCGAGGCTGACGTTTGGCAACTCGAACCTTCAGCTCCCTCCACAGATTTTCTATGGGATTAAGGTCTGGAGACTGGCTAGGCCACTCCAGGACCTTAATGTGCCTCTTCTTGAGCCACTCCTTTGTTGCCTTGGCCATGTGTTTTGGGTCATTGTCATGCTGGAATACCCATCCACGACCCATTTTTAATGCCCTGGCTGAGGGAAGGAGGTTCTCAGCCAAGATTTGACGGTACATGGCCCCGTCCATCGTCCCTTTGATGCAGTGAAGTTGTCCTGTCCCCTTAGCAGAAAAACACCCCCAAAGCATAATGTTTCCACCTCCGTGTTTGACAGTGGGGATGATGTTCTTGGGGTCATAGGAAGCTGGAGACTAACTCCCTCACTAACTTTAAGCATCAGTTGTCAGAGCACCTTACCGATCACTGCACCTGTACACAGCCCATCTGAAATTAGCCCACCCAACTACCTCATCCCTATATTGTTATTTATTTTGCTCATTTGCACCCCAGTATCTCTATTTGCACATAATCTCTTGCACATCTATCATTCCAGTGTTAATACGAAATTGTAATTATTTTGTACTATGGCCTATTTATTGCCTTACCTCCATAACTTGTACACACTGTATATATATTTTCTGTTGTATTTTTTGACTTTATGTTTTGTTTTACCCCATATGTAACTCTGTGTTGTTGTTTTTATCGCACTGCTTTGCTTTATCTTGGCCAGGTCGCAGTTGTAAATGAGAACTTGTTCTCAACCGGAAATAAAGGTGAAATAAATTTTTTTTATAAAAACACACACAGTCAGTCAGTCAGTGGGAAACTTTGCTGAGTGTGTGTTCCAGGCACCCTAACATAGCGTGTGAGCTGCTGACGAGTGATGTGGGAGTGATAAATGATAAGCTGGGTGGAGAGAAGCCCCTGCTGGATACCCTGTACTCTTTCCTGGAGCAGCCACCTCCCCTCAACCCCCTTCTCGCGTCCTTCTTCAGCAAGACCATCGGAAACCTCATCACACGCAAGACCGAACAGGTACAGTAACACCAACTCTCACACACAGTTGATCGTTTTATTCTGGTTGTGTTGTAGTTTCATTGTGGCTGTGATTCATTTTCTGCAGAAGAAGGAATGTTTCCTCTCTTTAGTGTAGAGCCCTATAAAATCTGCGTTGTGGAAAACACGCACGGAATCACGGAATCCAGACATTAAAACAGAATTCAACAATATTCCAAATGTATTGCACTTAGTAGGAAATCAACTAAATGTATTGAACTTATTAGAAAATGCATCAGTGATTCGTATTTTCCTGCAACTTTCTGAAACGGCACAGGTGTGTTTGTGTGTGTGCTGCGGTGCACTGCGCTGCGCACCAGGGCTTCTGGCCGCTAGCCGGTAATAGCAGGCTTCTGGCCGTAAAGAAAGTAATAGATAAGCCAATAAATAGAATTGGTACCGGCCAATTGACCGGGAGAAGAATAAATAATCCTATTGCGAAATAATGCTCATTCATATGTAGCCTAGGCCTATAGGTTGTATGAATTTGGGAAATACCGTCCCACAACTGTCCCAGAGTCTGTTTGGGCTATTTCTTTCTCGACAAGCTGACCAATAGAATAGGTAAACTTTTCTACTATGGTGGATAGTAGATTGACATAGGCTCACAAGCAGCACCTCCATAAGGCTAGGGGAAGCTTTCCTTAAGTAAATTGAATTAAATTGCCAAAATTATATAGGCTAACTAGCCTACTCCTGTGTCTACAGAAATATATAAAATCATTCAAAATAAGCTACTAAAGCATGATTTGGCCAAAGAGGATCATTAGCTTCCCTAGCCTTAAAAAAATATTATAATTGTGGATTGTTTAAATCGCATTGCCTACAGTCGGCAGGAAAGACAGCTCGCGCAATTTGGGCAGCACACGGGCAAATACCAAATAGATGATTGTTGAATTGCGACTGTCAGTGAAAAGTAGAGGCCCAGCCAGGCATATCGCAATATTTCAAAATTCAATCGCGGGAAAACATCGTTTGGAAAGCAAATGGCTATTGCTGTAAAGGGAAGACAATGAAAATACTAATCTGTCTTTTAGTTATCAAAATTCTTAACTTAATTGAGCGAACAACAGTAGGCCTATAGCTTATCTTATTGGCACCAGCGGAGAGCGGCCATATCCCCGGTGAGTGTGCACTGCTCATATTCACTCTTTATTATTGTTGGGTCAGTGCCACTTAAAAGTTTGTTTTTGGACAATCATTTCCTCCTCCAGTTTAGATGGACGTCATATTCTATTTGTTTCTCCCCTTCTCGTAGGCCTATTATATGGACAACGTTGTTTTTATTGATTTGTTTGTCAGTGTCCGCAGAGTAGGCTACCCTGTAATTTGTCGTATTAAAAAAGATTCTGCTAATGTCTCCAGTCATATAAAGTGTAGTAGAATTGCATGAAATGTGTTTTTCCCATGCAAAGAAAGAAGAACCATAGCTGATATCGCCCAGGCCTCTACGCTATACGCGCTCAGCCATGCATTAAATACTATTTAATGCGAACAGTGATTGAGTTATATTATCAGCCTAAATTATGACTATCCAATATACTCATCACATGACGAATAGTAGACTATCTTACATAAGTCTGCAAATGCAATAATGCATGCAATGCTTTATTATAAAGGTTAATTACTTCCCCAAACTTGAAACTCACGCGCCGCCTATGCATAGGCTAGTGATTTTGCTGTTCGTTACTTGTCTTGTTGGCTGAGAAAAGTAAATGTAGACAGTTATTCTAACTTCTTCAAAGTGTGCGGTAAGAACACACGTCATTTCATCCTCGACTTGCATGTTCTGTTAAGATTAATTACCATAATCTAAATGTGATTTCTGTCATTCTGAGCACCCTAATCAGGTTACGCACCCAATGCATATGGGTTCGGTAAATTTCTCAAAAGTTCGGCAAATTTAAAATGTTGCTGGTCAAATGTCCGGCGCCACATTTTCATAATGGAAACCCTGCTTATGTCTACACTATGTGTAGCCGTTAGTGATGATGCTAATGTAACTTTCTTCTGGTAGAAATGGAAAGGCTTTCTCAAAAACCTTCTCAATTAAATATGAATTACAAAGTAGCCTATGCCTACCTGGCAGAATTATATAATGATTAATTGCATCAATCCAGTGGCCATTTGTTTTCCAATCTCTGCAATCACATGAATCTGTTTTATTTTTTGCCTGATTCCGTTTTGTTTTTCCAGGTTTCCGTTATTCCCAGTTTTCACTCTCAAAATCAAAGTCTACAATAATGCTTAAAATGCATCAGGAGACCAGTTTAGAGGTGTAACAAAAAAAAAAAATGTATTTTAGGGTGTAGTTACACTTTAATGCAAGTGCAAACCAGCAAGAGACTGTTGTTTGGTTGTTCTCTACCAGAAGAAAGTTCTCATTAGCATCATCACTAACGGCTACACAAAGCTACAGAAAATTGCTAACCAAACAACCATCTCTTGCTGGTGTGCACTTGCATTAAAGTGTAACTACACCCCAAAATACACATTTCATTTTTTCCCCCCAGACCTAAAGTGATCTCCTGATGCCTTTTAAGCATTGTTGTGGACTTCGAACATCCGGTTTAGTTTTTTTTCTATAAAAAGTTTGGTTTTGAGAGTGAAAACTAGGAAAAAAGGAAACCTGGAAAAACAAAACAGAATTTGGGAAAAACTAAATGGAATCAGGCAAAAAATTTAACACATTTTATAGGGCCCTACTTGGGTAGATAATATTGGTTGTAATAATTTTGTTGTATGATGTAATAGCCTATATTGTTGTATGATCATTGAATTTTGGTCTTTAGATGATCTGGTTGACAGGTAGTTGTGTTGTGGTCTCTAGGTGATCTCCTTTCTGCGGGGAAAGGAGGGTTTCCTGGGTCTGGTCCTGAATCACATCAACACATCAGCCATGATGGACCTCCTGCTACGCCTCATCAGCTGTGTAGAACCTGCTCCTCTCAGACAGGACACACTCAACGTACGACACACACACACACACACACACACACACACACACACCCTCAGTGTGTGGTAAAGTATGTAATAGTGTTTTTGTGTTCCCTCTGCAGTGGTTAAATGAAGAGCGGCTGGCCCAGAGGCTTATAGAGCTAATCCACCCTGGGAAAGACGAGGAGGTAAGACCGACACACACCCACTCTACTGATGACTAGAGAGTGCTGTCAGAGGTGTAACGCCAGCCGTGTGTGTGTTTCAGAAACAGTCAAATGCATCCCAGACTGTGTGTGACATCATCCGTCTGAGCAGAGACCAGGCCAATCAGCTCCAAGAGAACTCTGAGGCTGACCCTCTGCTCGCCGTGCTGGAGTCGTAAGTCACACTTACACACACACACATACACACACACACACACACACACACCTACCTATAATGTCCTGTGTGTTCCTGCAGGCAGGAGTGTGTGGGTCAGCTGCTGGACAACATGTTTGTGGGCGAGAGGACAGAGAGCTGCATCATCTACGGAACTCAAGTCCTTCTCACCTTACTGGAAATCAGGAGGCCAGGGTGGGTGTTCTATTCTCGCATACCTAAAAAGCCCCTAGAGATCGCCAGCTTGCAGTCCTAGAAAAGGGAAATGAGTTAGCATTTTCTACCTCTGTTTCTGGTTCATTCCTTTGGGGGAAATGAATGGGGTTTTGGGATATGCGCTGAAAGTAAGGTCCGAGGTAACTCAGGCTTAGGAGATCTTATACGTTTTGTTCTATGAGATAATATCAGTCAGTTAACATGACCTTTATGAATTATGAAGCCTTTATGTGCTTGTTTTGATTACATAAATGCTTCAAAATCCACATAAAGTGATGTTGGCTGATGATGATTTCATAGAACAAGACATATAAGATCTCTTAAAGGGTAGGTAGCATAAGCGTAACCACATGTGACATGGATTTCCAGTAGTATACGCGTCAAAAGTCCTAATGCAAAGTTACACCTCACTTTTCAATTTTTCGAGTTATTACATAAAACCGATCAGAATGCCGAAGTAATGTCGGAAAATGTTTTTGGAGGATGTGACGTAATATGGAGGACCCGGCAAGCCAGCCTATTCCCTATCATGTAAACTCCCAACAGAAATAACGTCAAATGTATAACTTCAAATTATTTGCACTCATGACTACTTGATTCAATGTAATTGTCTGCCATTTTACAAGCAAATACTTAATTACTGTATTGTTACAAGTATGAAAATGTATGCACTCACTAACTGTAAGTCACTCTGGATAAGAGCATCTGCTAAATGACGTAAATGTAAACTAAGTTACTAAGTCTTTGACCACACCATGTTGTTACATTGGCGAGTAAAAACTCATGCTTCCTACCCTTTAAGCCTGTGTTTACCACAGACCTTTTTTTCTGAGTTTATTCAAAAACCACCTTAATTTCCTAATAGGCTTTGGCCAACGAGCCATGGCGGAGTTAGCCTCTGTTATTGCCTACAAAAAGACACCATTACTATTGCTCTGTATTAGATAGGATGCATAGGAATGTGGTCACAGCCCCTCTTTGGTTCCACTGCACACACACCTCTTATGACAGGAAGTAATTTCTCAAAAGCTACTGCCCATGGATAGGGGGTGTAAATGGAAAAGTTGTGACTGATCTAGATGCGTATCTAAAGATGCCCATCTTACCTGTGTGTGTGTTTCAGGGTGGAGGGTGTGTTGGATGTGTGTGTTCAGGGACATGAGAGGTGTGTCAACAGCAGCATCCTGCAGGCCATCCAACCCCACCTCACACACTACCACCAACTACTGCTGGATCCACCCAGGGTAAACTCGCACACGCACGCACACACACACACACACCTTCAACAAACATACATCCTGTATTCTCTGACTTAATCACCCATACAGTCTTGCGCTGTTATGCCATGTATAGTTTCAGAGCTGTAATGTCAGCTATTCAACACATCCTAAAACTCAATGATGTGTGTGTGTGTGTGTGTGTAGGTGACCCCCATGCTTACCAGTCTAGGTGTGTTGGAGGTGCCACTGGGTAACTGTCGTCTCCATGTGGCCAGACTGATGGCCTCGCTGCTACAGACCACTAACACCAGTTATTACACCTGTTGTAACAACACCATTTATAACAACACCGTCACACTGGAGCTCTGCAGACTCAACACCATAAACATTCTACTGGTCAGTACACGCACACCATGTCCTGGTTTGTATACACCTTTACATCTTTTATCCGTTAACTTGTTTTTGTTGTGTTGCAGGACCTGTTCTTTAAGTACACCTGGAACAACTTCCTGCACTTCCAAGTGGAGCTGTGTGTGGCAGCCATCCTCAGCCACTCTGCCCAGGAGCAGAGGCCCCTGGTCGCCCTGGTTACCCAGGAAAAGCCCAGGCTTCAGCAGGAGCCCCAGGAGAAGCAGGCCTCGCCTGGCCCCACCCCCCCACTGCCCTCTGTTCCTCCTGACATCTCCACACATAACCCACTGGTGACCCATGTACGTGTCTGTCTGTCTGTCTCTCTATCTCTGCCTGCCTGTGTGTCTCTGTAACATTCTCTCTCTCTTTCTCTCCATCTGTAGTTGTTTCAGGACTGTCGTCTGGTTCAGAGGATATTGGAGGCCTGGGAGGAGAATGATAAGATTCAGTAAGACACAAAAAACTGTTAAACAGATAAACAATTCAGCTATTTTTGCACCTGTTTTGTCATCTGTGATTGGTGTGTTATAGTGTGTCACGAGTGTAGTGTGTTAACGTTTATAAATGTAATTGTGTGTGTTACATATTGGCACAAACGTGTGTGTGTGTGTGTTCTCAGGGCGGAGGGGGGTATGAGGAGAGGCTACATGGGTCACCTGACTAGGATCGCCAATACTGTAGTCTGTAACATGGAGAAAGGACCGGTACACACCCAGATCAGCAGCCTCATTACAGGTAGGGCTGTGTGAGTTACTTAGGGTTACGGACATAAAAAGCCTAGTGTAGAATAACTGTCTGTGTATGTGTAAAGATGTCTCTACTGTGAATGTCTGTGTGTTGCAGAGCTGCTTGAGGATTGCAAGGGGCGCTGGGAGACCTTTGTAGACCAGGACCTGACAGAGATCAACAGGAAGAACACTGTAGACCTGGTACACACACCTGCTCACACACACACACACACACACACACACACACACCTGCTCACACACACACACACCATCAAATACATACACACGTAAAACCCCTGGCCTCTGTGTGTTCCAGGTGTCTCACAACCTGCGCTCCTCCAGTGAAGACGATGACAGACAGAGTCCCTTCCCCAAAGAGCTGTCACTGCAACAAGTACACACACACACGCATGTATTTACAGATAGTCATCTACTGCTCCTACTCTGTCCTGGTAACTACCATAATCCAGTTCTGTTTTCTATGGCTGCTATCTTCCAGACATTCTCAGACTATCAGATCCAGCAGATGACTGCTAACTTTGTGGATCAGTTTGGCTTCAATGACGACGAGTTCTCAGAACACGGCGACAACATCAAGTAAGACACACCTACAGCATCAAGTAAGTCCTCTAAGTGGTTCTGACTTGATTGTGACTGTGTATGTTATGTGCTGCAGCGCCACCTTTGACCGGATCGCAGAGATTAACTTCAATGTGGACACAGAGGACACCGTAAGTGACTGAGTCCATAGCCTCTATCTCCTAGGAGCTTCCATTTAAAATTAATTGTCTGAGTCATTACCTAAACTGGTCAACGAGTACAGTAATGCAGGGAATCTATATGCCTACATTGTGGTGTGTGTGCGTGCATGTGCAGGCTAAGACTGTGGCGTTTGAGGCCTGCACTAAGGAGAAGATCCAGTCGTTTGATGACAACGAAGAGGAAGATATCTGGGAGGAGAGAGAGATCAACTATACTACACACACCAGGTCCAGGACCAGGTATACAAACACACTTAGATTAACAATACAACACACCAGGTCTAGGACCAGGTATACAAACACACTTAGATTAACAATACAACACACCAGGTCTAGGACCAGGTATACAAACACACTTAGATTAACAATACAACACACCAGGTCTAGGACCAGGTATACAAACACACTTAGATTAACAATACAACACACCAGGTCTAGGACCAGGTATACAAACACACTTAGATTAACAATACAACACACCAGGTCTAGGACCAGGTATACAAACACACTTAGATTAACAATACAACACACCAAGTCCAGGTCCAGGACCAGGTATACAAACACACTTAGATTAACAATACAACACACCAGGACCAGGTATACAAACACACTTAGATTAACAATACAACACACCAAGTCCAGGTCCAGGACCAGGTATACAAACACACTTAGATTAACAATACAACACACCAGGTCCAGGACCAGGTATACAAACACACTTAGATTAACAATACAACACACCAGGTCCAGGACCAGGTATACAAACACACTTAGATTAACAATACAACACACCAGGTCCAGGACCAGGTACACACACACACACACACACACATAACGCTCTCTCTCTTGCTCTCTCAGGTTTGGGGGGTCGCGGACGTCTGTTGGATCGGCTCAGAGTGATGGGGTGAGCGATACTCCTGATAGGTCAACAGGTTCTGACACTGAGGAGTGGGAGGTGCCTAATGAGTTCACAGGTCAGACAGAACACAGCAAGAACATCAGCCAGACTGAGACTGCACAGAGTAAGGACGACTATTTGAACCCAGGTCTGCTTGTGTGTGGGTATTTCATGTTTGCTGTGAGCTGTTTTTGTTTGTGGGATGTTTTTGTGGTTGTATGTGGTTAGTTTTCTTTGGTTGTGTGTTGCTGTGGTAGTCGATGCTAATGTTTCTGGTTCTGCTTGTTTTGTTTGTGTGTGTCTGGTCCTCAGCTCTGAGTTGTAATTTTTCCTCAGGCCCTGGCTGGGCGGCTAGTTTCGGGGAGGTGAACTCTAAGGCCCCCTCTCCTGGAGTGGGCGTGGATCCATGGGCTAATCCCACCCCCAAGCCTGGAGTGGGTGTAGACCCATGGGGTAGCCCTGCCCCCACACCTGGAGTGGGCGTAGACCCATGGGGTAGCCCCGCTTCTAAGTCCGGAGTGGGCATGGATCCATGGACTAGCCCCACTCCCAAGTCTGAAGTGGGCGTAGACTCATGGGACACCCCTGCCCCCAAGTCAGGAGTTGGCGTGGACGCATGGGGCAGCCCCACCCCCCAGCCCGTAACCACAGAGGCAGAGAAGGGCTGGGCCAAGTTCACTGACTTTCAGCCCTTCTGCTGGTGAGTGTAGTCATGTGTCAGTCTGTCTTTATGAACATTCTGCTGCTCATCTATACGTTTATATTCGTGTGTGTGTATTCAGTTCAGAGACAGGTCCGAGGTGCACTTCTCCAGTAGACTCAGAGATCTGTGGGTCAGACAAAACAAAACCCAGCCAGGACAAGAACTGTAAGTCTGTGTGTTCTCCCTGCATTGTGTGTGTGTATATAACCGTGTGTGTGTGTGTGTGTGTGTGTGTGAATAACCGTGTGTGTGTTTTCTCTGCAGCGTGTGTGTGGAGTGTGTGTGTGGCGAGGAAGGCTCCCCTGGTAGCATCAGACAGCTCTTCATCAGGAGGCTCAGAAAGTGATGAAGAGGAGGACAAGACTGAATCTGTTACTATGGAGACGGTATCCAAGGAAATGGTCACTACAGAGACCGTTGTCACAACCGCCGGACGGGAGACCATCAGACTTAGCATGGACGCCAAGAACGAGAGAGCTGTCTTCACCAGGTACACACACACAAACACACTCTCTTCTCAGTAGTGCAGTATATTCCACTCCCTGCCTTACTGTCCACACCACTCCTCTCATCTTACCTTCTCTCTTTTCCTCTCTCCTTCCCTCCCACTTTCCAAATCTGTCCTCCCACCTCGTTTCCTCTCCTCCTCCTCTTCCTCCTCTTTTCCCCATTTCCTGTCCTGTCCTTCTGTTCCTCTTCTCTTTCCTCCACTCCCACATTCCCTTCCATCTTCTCTCCTCCACTTCTGAATTTCCTCTCCTCTCCAGAGTGTTTCATCCTGCAGTCAGAGGGTATGTAGTGTATGAGGTCTCTAGCCATCGAGTGTGTTACCTGTGGCGTTTTGTTGCCTTGGGAGTGTGTTACAGAGTGTACAGCACTTTGCAGAGCAAAACCCAATGGAAACATAGCCACAGGTGACATCTGCTAACATAAAAAAAGTTAATATAAAAATGTTTTTAGTGTCACATACGCCGGATAGGTGCAGTGAAATGTGTTGTTTTACAGGTTCAGGCATAGTAGTATGGCGCCCCTGGAGCAAATTAGGGTTAACTGCCTTGCTCAAGGGAACATCGACCAATTTTTCACCTTGTTGGCTCAGGTATTCGAACCAGCGACCTTTCGGTTATTGGCCCAACGCTCTAATCGCTAGGCTACCTGCCACCCTATTAGCAGTGAATGGACTGCAGTTCTGCTGTTGATAACGTCAAACCAAGGCATTGAGCATTGTGTTCAGCTGCATGATAACTAACTGTATGTTTTTGACCTTCGACCTTTGGCTGGCCATCCCTACATTCCTCTCTGACCCTATGACTATGCCTCTCTACTCTAGGTCTATGCTGAGTTCTGATGGGTCTACTAGGGGCAAATCCAAAAGCGCTTAAGTCCTATATAGTGCACTACTTTTGGCCAGAACCACATAGGGCTGCCACATAGGGCTCTAGACAATAATAGTGCCCTATACAGGGAATAGGGTACGATTTGAGACAACCAATATGTTATTAGTTATGTCTTTCTACTCTTACAGTGAGGCTGACATGAGAGAGAAAGAGAAGATGAAAGAGAGGGTGATGGGTGGAGGAGACCCTCTCAATGCCACCGCTGCTCCCCTCAAAATTCGGCCTGCTACCGTCACAAAGTAAGTGTGTGTATCTGTGTGTCTGTGTTGTGTACCTGCTTTTTCACTGACACCACCCCCTCCACTCTCCCCACAGAGACACACCATCCTCGGCAAACGGACCGGCCTAGTACTACGGTACCACAACACATACATACACTCCATTCCCTAGCAAACACTAACACACTCCACTTCCCAACAACACTCCATGCCATGCAATGTCCTGTATTCGTGAGCAGTGCTGCCCTGCCATAGGTCTGTGTCTAGGACATCTACGGTGGCTGAGAGGGTCAACAAGCAGAAGAGAAAAGCGATTGCGGAAGCCAGACCACAGCTCCTAAACACAACAGCTTATAAACAGATTAATGTGATGTTTGTCCCTGCCCTTCTGCTGTAGTCTGTCCTACACACCTATCACATCACCACACTGCGACATGTGTGTGTGTGCGATCAAGCTTTATGTAGTCTTGTTGTTAGTTCTTGGCTCAGCTCTCCAGCTGGCCGTGTTTTTTACACTCTTTGTTAAGTAGAGAGACGACACTCCATTCTCGCCGTAGTCACATCCTCAGCCCAGAGTAAAGTCTGAGACCAGGGGATGAGGGGAATGTGTAGTCTGTACTGACAGTAAGATCCTCAAAGACTAAATGTGTTCTAAAAATGTGTTCCTAGTTTAAATTATTTGACTCAATCATTTCATCATAGAAAATCCAGACTGATTATGAAAATCCACCACTATCTTTCTCCCTCTCTTTGTGTGGACTATTACAGGTAATTAAAATATAGTCTGTTCTTTCTCTTTGCGTGTATGTATGTGTGGGAGATTTGGGATATATATTCTCAGGTTAAAAGAACAGTTCTGTGGATGTGATGAAAGCACACCTGTGTGACGTCACACACAGCATGAGTACACACACATACGGTGTGATTATTCACACACACACACACACACACACAGTGTGATTATTCACACACACAAGACACACACATGACACACACAAGACACACAAAGCGTGGTCCTCTGTAGCTCAATTGGTAGAGCATGGCGCTTGTAACGCCAGGGTAGTGGGTTCGATCCCCGGGACCACCCATACGTAAAAATGTATGCACACATGACTAAGTCGCTTTGGATAAAAGCGTCTGCTAAATAGCATATTATTATTATTATTATTATTATTATTATTATTATTATTATTAAAGCGTGAGGCATACACACACACATACACACACAAACAGTGTTCGCGTAGACAGAAACACTCACACCCTTCCGCATCACCCCTCCACAGAGCTGTGTAAATGTAATATTGTGACATTTGAACCTTTATTAGGTTGTGGTATAATGTAAACGTATTATAATATAAACAGTATATATATATAAACACTTATCTATTTTTGGTATCAATTCAGATGTATCGGAAAGCGGTTGTTTAAGCGGGTTGCTGTGTGTGTGTGCGTGCGTGGGTGTGTGTGTGTGTGTGTGTTATAATGTTGAAATGAGGCAATAATGACGTCTGGTGTTATGGTTTTTACCCCAGCATCAGACCCTGTGTGTGTGTGTGTGTGTGTGTGCACATGTATGTTTGTTTGGTATATTGGACGTCTTCATATACATTTCCTCATGCTCTATCATCTTATCAGTATCAAAAGACCTCTCTCCCTTCTTTCTCTCTTTTAGAGCATGTCCTTCATGTATGACTTAGTGAAGTTAGTTCATGTTATGATGTTTAAAGCACTTTGTGATGGTGGGCAGAACCACCAAGGTGTTTTACTCACAGCTGAGGAAGATATGTTTGACTTAAAGGAATCAGTGAGTTATTTAAAAATCTTAATAATATTGTTATTTTTATGTGATATGATGGGATTTTATCCACATATCATGATGCCAAAGTGTATCTTCCAGAGTGGGCTAGAGACTAATGAAATTGGCTAGATTTGGGACAGGGAGAGGGATCCATCCTGATTCAGGGTCTGATAAAGCTAACCAGGGTTGTGTACAGAGTTATGTCATACCTTCACCCCAACACCACACACTGCATCTGACCCATACGTGTGTGTGTGTGCTCACTGTAGTCAGAAGCCTTTTATAAAGGGTTCTGATGCTGGCGGTTCCGTTCTGTATAGGTAATCGTGTGTGTTATTGTTGTCAAACCTAGTCTGTAAATTCCGATATCAAACTAATAAATATGTCAACCATCAACACTGGGCTCTGAATGTCATTGATTCGTGTGCTGAAATGACGCACACGTAGCCAGCACAAATACAGTATGTTTACCTTTAGGTCAGGTGAGTAGAGAGGTTGGGTTCCACTTGCAGTCCCACATACAAAAACATTACACACACACAAACCATCTACAATAACCCCCCCCCCCCCCTTCTCTTGTTACATACACACCTGCTTTGTAGTTACTGGGGCGGAGGGGGGAGTTATTATTTAGGTTAAAAAGGGTAAATATAACCTATCTACATCCACACAGTCACTCACAAAAAACAAACACCTGCATTCTTTCTGATAGGTCTCCCTCATCCTCTCTCTGTAATATGAGACACACCATACAGACACTGCTGCTCTCAAATCTTCATTCCTGATGAGACTTTGAGGCTAAACACACACACCGTCTCACAACTACACACGGTCTAAAACAGACAAATAGCCTGTCTCTCTTTCTGTGACTCCTCTTCTCTGTTTCTCACACTCAGTGCTGCTCTGCTCTGTCTTGTGCGACTGGTCTTTGGTGAGTGCATGTGTAGCCCTGAGTGTGCGGAGAGGTGAGAGGGACGAAAGAGGAAGGGGTAGGATGTAGAGAAGGGAGAGCAATAGAGGGTTGGGGTAGAACTGCCGGGAGGGGTGGAGTAGAGATGGAAGTAAGGGTGGAGTTGATATGGAGGGGGTGGAGTAGAGGGAGGGGGAGGAGTAGAGAGCTCTTGGCTCAGTAAATATGTTTGTGGAGAAACCTGCCAGTCCACTTCACAGAGGAGGAGGAGTCTAGGGGCGTGGGACACAGACAAAGAACACACACACACACACTAACGGACACACACACACTAACACGGGGAGAGAGCAGAGGACTTTTCTGTACACACAGTGGATTTTACACATGTGGAATATATTTCTTACTTGGAGCTTTGCTGGAGGAGGCCTGTGTGTTCGTGTGTCAGTTAGTGTGTAGTATAGTGTGCTTACATTAGTGTGTTTGTGTGAGTGTCTGTGTGAGAGCATGTGTGAGTGTGTTATGTTGAGTGTGTAGAAGCATATGTGTGCGTAACAGCCTGGCCCCGGATGGAAAGGGGTGTAGCTGGCTACCCAGAGGTCTTAGCTCCCAGCCATGGGGGGCTGCCAGAGTCACCCCTCTGCTGCGGAGACACACAAAGTACCCCAGCCCTCTGACATCACCAAACTGTAAGTATCTCTCCCCTTCCCCTCTCTCAATCTATCCATTCCCTCCTCTCTCTCCATCTCCTCCACTCTCTTTTTTCCCCCTTCCCTCTTCTCTCTCCTCATCCCTCTCTCTAGTTATTCTATGCTAGTTCAGATTAGACTGGATTTGTTTGTAGGGAGATTGAACTCAGTTAGTTAGTTAGTTAGAACGCTCAAGATCTGAACTGAGGTGGAGAGAGAAAAGCGGGGGATAGAGCAAGAGACTTAGGGACTGACAAAAAGAGAGAGACGGCTACTGGACATGGTAAACTGAGGAATGTTCTCTTTATAAGGACGTGTGTGTGGCACATATTTGTCTGATAACATCAACGGATATGGATTCCTTTACTGAGGCAAGAAGCAGGGACGACGGGATTGTGGTTTAAAAAGTGTTTAAGAAGAGATGGTGTGTGCTTTAAAAAATGTCATGAATAGATAGATGGCTTGTGTCTCTGTGTTTGAACAAATAGCCAGTTATGCTGGGCTTACTGTTTGCTTCGTCCACAGAGCGCAGTGAAACGTTAACAAACACACAAGTGAGAGAGCAGGCTCACAGTGGAGTTTGTTTACCTATAAACACACCACCTACTTTGGGTTCATTTGCGTGTGTGTGTACAGGTGGTTGGTAGAGAGGGTGGTCTAAATGAAGGGACAATTGTGCAGAGTAGAATAGGGAGGAAGTTTAGTTAACAGTTCCCTCAGCGTGGTGAAACCAGCCTGATTGCTGTATTCACCGCTAGTTCATTGATTCCCAGTGTGACCTCCCCTCTATCTGTACCATCCCCAGATGCTGTTTAAAAGCAATTATGAAGATTCCTACATACTTTGTCCTGACCTTAACCCTAACCTCCCTCTGTCATCGTTCATTCGCTCACTCTTTCTTGCGCTCTCTGTCTCTCTCTCTCTCTCTCTCTCTCATTCTCCTGTGGACAAAGACCATTCTGTTTTGCCAATAGGACACAGGCAAACCAAAGCAACCCCAGCAGGGACTGAAACTCCTCATAGAGAACAGAATGTTTCTGTTATCAGTGTAACAAAGTCACACACACACTTTCTCAAATACACACACAGATATCAAGGTTGAAAGTATTACAGTTGCTTTCACTTCACTGACGGTGTGGTGATATAGTCAGTGGAAAACATTGACAGTGTGGCGTAATGTAGTACAGTGGAAAACTGGGACCTGCTTTGCATGAAGTCAAATCTCCAGTCCCTGGTTTAGACTCTCTAGGACAGACACACCAACAGACATACTGACCAATATCACAATACATTTCATGTGTCTGTGGTTATAATGCATTATAACAAAGTATTACCCCTCTCACTTTATCATCTCCGCAGCCCGCCCCTCATTTCTGATTTGTTATGCTGAACAGGCACTTCCGTAACGACCAGACACATAGCTTTTTAACCTCATTACACAGGCACATAATTAATTTGCTTTATCACCCATGAGCACCGGAGATAACCCAGCTAGCACATTTACACTGAACAAAAATATAAATGCAACATGCACCAATTTCAAAGATTTTACTGAGCTACAGTTCACATAAGGAAATCATACAATTTAAATGAATTCATTAGGCCCTAAACTATGGATTTCATATGACTAGGAATACAGATATGCATCTGTTGGTCACAGACACCTTAAAAAAAAGGTATGGGCGTGGATCAGAAAACCAGTCAGTATCTGGTGTGACCACCACACCTCGTTCGCATAGAGTTGATCAGGCTGTTGATTGTGGCATATGGAATGTTGTCCCACTCCTCTTTAATGGCTGTGCAAAGTTGCTGGATATTAGCGGGAACTGGAACACGTTGTCGTACACGTTGATCCAGAGCATCCCAAACATGCTCAATGAGTGACATGTCTGAACTAGGACATTTTCAGCTTCCAGGAATTGTGTACAGATCCTTGTGACATGGGGCTGTGCATTATCATGCTGAAACATGAGGTGATGGCGGCGGATGAATGGCACGACAATAGGCCTCAGGATCTCGTCACGGTATCTCTGTGCATTGAAATTGCCATCAATAAAATACAATTGTGTTCGTTGTTTGTAGCTTATGCCTGCCCATACCATAACACCACCACCACCATGGGGCAGTCTGTTCACAATGTTGACATCAGCAAACCGCTCGCCTACACGACGCCACGTCTGTCATCTGCCCAGTACAGTTGAAACCGGGATTCATCCGTGAAAGAGCACACTTCTCCAGTGTGCCAGTGGCCATTGAAGGTGAGCATTTAACCTAAGCTAGCAGTGTTATTAAACGTGTTATTGAAATCTTCAGTGAAAGTTAAGGAAGTTATTTAAAAACCTTCAAATAACCAATCATTTCCATTCTCTGAAGTCGGTTACGACGGCAAACTGCAATCAGGTCAAGACCCTGGTGAGGACGACAAGCACGCAGATGAGCTTCCCTGGGACAGTTTCTGACAGTTTGTGCAGAAATTCTTCGGTTGTGCAAACCCACAGTTTCATCAGCTGTCCGGGTGACTGCTCTCAGACGATCCCGCAGGGGGAAAAGTTGGATGTGGAGGTCCTGGGCTGGTGTGGTTACACGTGGTCTGCAGTTGTGAGACAGATTGGACATACTGCCAAAATCTCTAAAAGGATATTGGAGGTGGCTTATGGTAGAGAAATTAACATTAAATTATCTGGCAACAGCTCTGGTGGACATTCCTGCAGTCAGCATGCCAATTGTACGCTTCCTCAAAACTTGAGACATCTGTGTTTGATAATGCTGTTTAATCAGCTCATTGATATGCCATACCTGTCAGGTGGATGGGTTATCTTGGCAAAGGAGAAATGCTCACTAACAGGGCTGTAAACAAAATTTGAGAGAAATATGCTTTTTGTGCGTATGGAACATCTCTGGGATGTTTTATTGCAGCTCATGAAACATTGGAACCAACACTTTACATGCGTCTATATTTTTGGTCAGTGTAGTTCCTTGTAAGTTGTGAGAACACACGTTTTTGGTTTACCATTGGTTCTGGTAACAAAGCCATACGTTTCCTGACCGGTAAAACAAACGTTTTTTTAAACGTTCTGAGAACGGAAGTGAACATTTTGCCTGTTCTGGGAGTACCTTTTTTTAGGTTGCAGGTAGGTTCTGAGAATGTTTTACTACGGTAAACTGGGAGGTTTTATGAACATTCTGAGAATGGAAATCATTGGTTATTTGAAGGTTTTTAGATAACTTCCTTAACTTTCACTGAAGGTTTCAATAAGACTTTTAATAACACTGCTAGCTTAGGTTAACTGTTTTAAACTCCAAGCACAGAATAGGACACATTGAAATTAATTTGCTTAGGCATTTTATTGTGGCATCGTGTCAGTGAGATTCACACCTATGATCTTCTATTCTCTATCCATTGAACTGGTCCACCGTGCCACTGAGATGGAGCTAGTGTTTTTTTTAATTTTTATATTCATACAAAGCTTTATTTACACCTGAACAATATATAGAAAATAGAGAGACGCTGAGAACGGAAGGTATATGTTTTTAAATAACATTCTTAGAACATTCTTTGAACGTTACTAATGTTTTGTTGTTTTTTATGGAACGTTTTCTTAATGTTCTGAGAACATTACTTTAAATAGAACTATGAGGAAACCTGTATGAAATGTTATGCTGAAGTACTGAAATTCCCACAGAAGAACGTTGTTTCTTAACGTTCTCTGAACTATTTGAGAACATTTCCAATGTCAAACCAGTTGGAGAACGTCCCTAGAACATTGCTAAAATTGACAAATCTAACCATGTTTGAACTTTTAGGAGACATTCTGTTAAATTTAATGAAATACCAAAAAAATAATGTTTTTTTTTGTCAAGTTCCTTAAATGTGCTGAGAATGTTCCATAGCCAAGCAACTATCCTGCACCATTCCCAGAAAGTTGTGGTAAAGGTTGTATGCAAAATAACCATAGGACAACCACGCTCTCACCAAGCTCTAAGAAACATGTGGTTCTCAGAACGTTATATACTAGCTGGGCTCATTGTACTACCACATGCATGAATATATACCAAATGTGGGAATGTGTATTTCATACATACTGATACACACACTGGCTGAGATAGAATATTCCCAAAGTTCTGTATGATATTCCTCACCTCAAAACCTCCAGTTTACAGTGTGGACTCCCTAGTCCACCAGAGAGCAGCTGTACTCCTAAATCCTGCAGTTCATTGTTACTCAGATCCAGCTCTATCAGGTGTGAGAGATTTGACCTCAGAGCTGAAGCCAGAGAAGCAAAGCCTTCCGCTGTGACATCACAACTCTTCAGCCTGCAGTGGGAGAGAAAAGTTTACATCTCAGCTCTACACGCAACTGGACATATGAAGGACCCATTTATATTTTCGAACCTATTAGTTTTAATGGCATATTTGAACGATGTCATTACTTCAGTGTTTCGGTTTACAGTGTGGATTCCCCAGTTGAACAGAGAGCAGCTCCAGTCCTGCATCCTGCAGTTTAATATCACTCAGGCACAGCTCTCAGAGTTTGAGCTGAGAACTGAACTCAACATATCACAGCATCTCTGTGAGATTACATCCTTTCTGCCTGAATAAGGAACAAAGAAGTGACAGATTGGGTCAAAAATATATTATTACTGATGAAATGGGAGAGAACAACCATTAAAATATAAAATAAAGACAAAGTTACAAATATTAATCATAAATCGGATAGCTTGGTCACACCTAAATATTGTGTAGATTATTCTGAAACAGTTAAGTGTACTAACAAATGAGTTAATACATACTGTAAGGTAGTGTGTACACTTATTACCGGGACACCAGTCCAGTTATTGGACAAACTGGTTTTCTAAGAAGACCTGACTTATGAGTTATTTTAGTTATAACTCTATAAGACTACAATTAGAAAAATAATCGTAAATGTATTAATCTGAAGGTATGAAGTAGTTGAGAATCAATTGGAGTTCTTTACCAGAATATGTTATGTGCTACCTGGGAAGAGACTGCAGCAAAAGCTGTGTGTGTGTGTGCAGTAAACCAGAGAGTCCAGACTACGAACTGTGCAATCTGATGACTGCAGCTGGAGCAGTGAAACATGCACACTTAAATACTGACACACACACACACACACACACACACACTTTAACTGTGTGTGTTATATTGTTTAGGGGAGATAATAACAATGAGCTGGTGATGGAGGAGCGTCCCTACCTGCAGCAGCAGTATGTCTCTGAGAGGATCACACACACCGATATGACCGCCCTCACCGCCCTGCCACCCGGACTGGACCAGGCTGAGTGGCTCGCCAGCAACAGTCAGTACACAAACACACACACATAAACACATGTAAGCGTGCTCTCACACACAAAAATCACACAAAGACCAGACATTGGGAATTCAGAAATGGGGGAGCCCTATTTTGGAGGGTTAGGATTAGGGTTAAACCAGGGTTAAACATAAAGCGAGTTAGGTTTATGCCAAGATTAGAGTTGTGGTTGAGGTTAGGGTTGAACCAGGATGTGGACATGAAGCTAGGGTTAGGGTTGAACCAGGATGTGGACATGAAGCTAGGGTTAGGGTTGAGGTTAGGATTGAACCAGGATGTGGACATGAAGCTAGGGTTAGGGTTGAGGTTAGGGTTGAACCAGGATGTGGACATGAAGCTAGGGTTACTTTACGGTTACGCCAAGATAAGAGTTAGGGTTAATTTGGTATATCCCTAATCCCAATATTGCATGTGTAGATTAATTGGTAGAGCATGGCGCTTGTAACGCCAGGGTAGTGGGTTCGATCCCCGGGACCACCCATACGTAAAAATGTATGCACACATGACTGTAAGTCGCTTTGGATAAAAGCGTCTGCTACATGGCATTATTATTATTATTATTATTATGACTATAACCTAAACGGCTTCTCTCTCTCTCTCTCTCTCTCTAGCGGTAGCGTTCTTTAAGCATATTAACCTGTTCTCCAGTGCTCTTTCTGAGTTATGTACTCCTACCACCTGTCCTACAGCCTGTGGACCAGATAACACGTAAGTCACACTCAAACACACACACACACACATGTTAATATTCCCACTCATGCAGACACACCCTTCTGCTCCCTCAATGTGTGTATGTGTAGGGTGTATACATGGACAGATGATCAGGGGAAGAAGTTAAAGTGTTCCGCTCCTCTCTACTTTGACTATGCCATGTCCTACATCCAGGACCTACTGACAGATGAAGACGTCTTCCCCACCAGAGCAGGTACACACACACACAATGTATAGTAAATGAACACAAGTGCTGCAGACATTCACTGCCCTACTGATCATCAACCAATGACTACAACATAACAAACCAACTAATCTATCAGTCAATAAAATACTCAACCCTTCTCCCCTTTCATTCCCTCTCCCCACAACCTTACACATCATGCTCTGCCTCCTCACTCTTCCCCCTCCCTCTCTTATCCCCAACACCTCTCTCCATCCTATCCTCCCATTCTTTCTCTCCTCCCCTCCTTCCGTCACCAGGGTCAGTTTTCCCAGCAGGCTTTGTGTTCTTGGTCCAGAAGGTGTTTCTGTTGTTGTTCCGTGTTCTGGCTCATATCTACTGGAGTCACTACAGAGAGGCCCTAGTTCTGGGACTCCACCCCCACCTCAACACGCTGTTCACACACCTCACACACTTCAGCCTGCAACACGACCTGCTGGAGGCAGAACACACACAACCTCTACAGGACCTGATCATCGCTCTGGGACAGCACAGCCTCACCTGACACACACACACACACGCACCTTCACAGATGTACACACACGCATGTACGTACATACACACACACAACACACACACACACACAGCTTCATTGCATTTAGAGAGACAGACTCAGCGACTCTGTGTATAAACTGTGAGTTAACCTTTTACTGCAGTGGGCTAAATCAGGGTCACAGAGTGTTTCTTGGTAGTCTTAAAATAATCTTCTTTGAAACAAAAGTATACACCTCACACACATGGTTATGGGCTTTAAGAAAATAAGACACCTGTACCATGGCAGACATAGAGTTGAAATGTATTCAATTTTGAGTTTGCATCCCAATATTACACTTTATATACTGTACATCACAGAAGACTGAAATATAACAAAACTGTTTGACATAGAAACACCGGATTTCAGCGTTTAAAAAAATGATGTTTATTAATTATGAAATTATGAAAAATATTAAAAACATTCCACCAATGAGGCCACTAGGTCATTTGACTGCAGGAAAGGGCTACGTAAGAAGAGCATGTGTGTATTGCTCTTTATGCTGTTGCATGTGATATGTATAATATATGTTATGAAGATGTTTTTGTTGTGGTATGTTATTAAAAAAAAAAACTGAGGTCAAATGAATTTCCAAAGGTCATGTATACTGTAGGTCATCTATTATGCTCTCCTTAACCCTACCCTTATGTTCAATTTGGCTATACACGAGTTATGTTCCAGGTTAGTACAGTAAGTACAGTAAACACAGAAAGTACAGTAAAGTTTCCCTTATCTAAATGTTGCTGAGAATGTCCTCTTCAGATGCTCTTTTCCCTGGGTTGATAGCCCCAACCGTTCAAAAGTTGGAGCCAAATGTTTGACGCATGTCAAAGTCATAAATCCGTCAGATCGTCGGTGATCCGACTTCGTACATTTAGTCAAAACTCAGTTTTATCTTCAAATCAAATCACATTTTATTTGCCACATGCGCCGAATACAACAGGTGTAGACCTTACAGTGAAATGCTTACTTACATGCCCTTAACCAACAATGCAGTTAAGAAAAAAAAGTGATAAGTAAAAAAATATAAATAATTAAAGAGCAGCAGTAAAATAAAATAACAGTAGGGAGGCTATATACAGGGGGTACCGGTACAGAGTCAATGTGCGGGGGCACTGGTTAGTCGAGGTAATTGAGGTAATATGTACATGTGGGTAGAGTTAAAGTGACTATGCATAGATAATAAACAGAGTAGCAGCAGCGTGGGGTGGGATGGGGGGGACAATGCAAATAGTCCGGGTAGCCATGATTAGCTGTTCAGGAGTCTTATGGCTTGGGGGTAGAAGCTGTTAAGAAGCCTTTTGGACCTAGATTTGGCACTCCAGTACCGCTTGCCGTGCGGTAGTAGAGAGAACAGTCTATGACTAGGGTGGCTGGAGTCTTTGACCATTTTTAGGGCCTTCCTCTGACACCGCCTGGTATAGAGGTCCTGGATGGCAGGAAGCTTGGCCCTAGTGATGTACTGGGCCGTACGCACTACCCGCTGTAGTGCCTTGCGGCCGAGCAGTTGCCATACATTCTGTGTATTAAAACACTTACATTGGGTTTACATTCAAACACTCTCCAAACACCAAATTTCAGCTTAGGTTTCATTAAACAATCTTAATGTTTTGATCATCTTTTTGATCATTTTCATCTGTGGACCTTTTGGGGCGGTATGCAAATTGTAGTGGGTCTAGGGTTTCTGGGATAATGATGTTGATGTGAGCCATGTCCAGCCTTTCAAAGCACTTCATGGCTACAGACGTGAGTGCTACCGGTCGGTAGTCATTTAGGCAGGTTATCTTAGTGTTCTTGGAAACAGGGACTATGGTGGTCTGCTTGAAACATGGTAGTATTACAGACTCAGTCAGGGACATGTTGAAAATGTCAGTGAAGACACTTGCCAGTTGGTCAGCACATGCTCGGAGTACACGTCCTGGTAATCCGTCTGGCTCTGCGGCCTTGTGAATGTTGACCTGCTTAAAAGTCTTACTCACATTGGCTACGGAGAGCGTGATCACATAGTCATCCGGATCAGCTGACGCTCTCATGCATGCTTCAGTGTTGCTTGCCTCGAAGCGAGCATAGAAGTGATTTAGCTCGTCTGGTATGCTTGTGTCACTGGGCAGCTCGCGCCTGTGCTTCCCTTTGTAGTCTGTAATAGTTTGCAAGCCCTGCCACATCCGACGAGCGTCAGTGCCGGTGTAGTACGATTCCATCTTAATCCTGTATTGACTCTTTGCCTGTTTGATGGTTCGTCAGAGGGCATAGCAGGATTTCTTATAAGCGTCCGGGTAGAGTCCGCTCCTTGAAAGCGGCAGCTCTACCCTTCAATCAAGTCAAATCATGTGCTGCGCCGATAACAGGTGCAGACTTTGAAAATATCACCCCCATGTGCTTCTGCAAAAAAGTTTGTGAGGAGTATGTACATACGGTACACTGTGGGGACAATAACATCATCATGCACTTTAATATGATAAGTTAAAGCCATGTTAACGTGTAGCAGCATAAAAAGGATGGTGTGCAATAGTCTCCATCAAGGTTGCCATCGGAAGAATGAGCCCGGACTAACTTGGCATCTCCGCTTTGCTGTAGAAAAACAGGTTCTGGAGCTTAGCATCTGAGGCCTCATCTGACACCCCTTATAACCAAGTCACTGGTGCTGCCGTGCACTTCGTATTTCAGAGCAACAGTTGCATTATAACATGGATGCTACTCAGTGCAGACGAATTTAGAATAGCTCGTGCGGAGATTGCCAATTCCATGGGTATGTACATACGGTCCGTGGGACGACGTCATCTGCACTTATGTGAGCCAGTGACGATGTGGTACTCTCAAGGAATCCCGGAACATATTCCAGCTGTGCGTAAAAACAGTTCGTGCTTAGTCTGCCTCATGACCACTTCCTTATTAACCAAGTCACTGGTGCTTCTGCTTAGTTTTGCTATACGCATGAACAGGATAGAATATGTCAGATTGCCAATGGATGCGGGGACGCGTTCTGTTGTGGCGTTAAGGTGTCTAGAGTTTCTTTCCTCTGGTTGCACATTTAACATGCTGGTAGAAATGAGGTAGAACGGATTTAAGTTTCCCTGCATTAAAGTCCCCAGCCACTATGAGCGCTGCCTCTGGAAGAGCTCAACTTCAGATCAGTGTTGCTCATCCTCTGAACATCATAGAGAAATCATACTCATATCTATGTGATCGTCATGGTCGCACCATTCCTGTGCCGCTTGATTCTAGGACACGCCGGTCAAGAGTTAGAAAATGTCAAGTTCAAGGGTCAAATTGCAGGTCAATTTGAATTCAGATCAGTGTTGCTCAGCCTCTGAGTATCATAGGGATATAATTCCTGTGCAGAAAGCAGCTTGTTTCTAGGACACCATTCAAAAGTTATATAGACTAAGGTCAAGGTCAAATTGTGTGGGTCAAATTGCGGGTCAAATTGACCCAGAACATCATGGATGTCACTTTTCTTGTACTGTGTAGTGATTTATTTTTATTATGTGTTTTAGAAGTTTGAGACCAGTAGCTAAGAGAGTAGATGAAGGGTCATGGTGAAATAATTAAGTAAAACTGTAGGCCTATTTGAGTTATTATTATTATTTTTTAAAGTTAAATTGACCTGGAACATAAGGGAAGAGACGTTACTCAAAAAAGTTATATGAACACAACTCTTTAAGGGGGCAATTCAGAACCAAGATATGCGCACATAAATGGAACTTTTTCATGCACTTTCCTGTCTGTGCACATTCTGACCTTGAACTTAAGCATGGGGAAATGCATGTGCCAGCCAGCTATTTGTTTGGGTTGGAGATCGCAGAAATGGACGTGTGGCAGAGGTGTGTCTACAGATACGCGTATTCTGACCTTGACTTAATTCCACACATAATTCCACCAGTTTTATGTGTGAGAAAACCATGAATGAGGTTGAGCAACCTTTTGGTTCCAAGTGGGAAAATATGTACTTTATTTTTTCCACTATAAATAACTAGCCTTGTAATTACCAGACTGATTACTGCTGTTTAACCTTTGTGCACTCTCAAATGTTGTAATTATATGCCCCGACTTTCTCTGTTTCATATTTGTAGCCTATCATGTTAAATATTATACACTATCATTAGCCACCATCAGTAATATAAGTTTTGAGTTGTAATACCTACATACATTTATAACTGTCACTTTAGTGTTAGTACCCTTCAATTTGAAGCCTACATTTTGAAGGAGGGAGGGAGGGAGGGAGGGAGTAGTAGGAGAGAGGACACAAGGAATCAAGGAAAGAATGCATCTCATGTCTTAATAGAACATTCTGGTTTGAACGGAGGTAAAACATAAAGCATAGATCGCTAACAACCTTCAGCGGTACTGCGGTTTAACAGCACCATCTAAAGGTAAAACAAAGACGTGCAGGGGTCTTAGACTTCTTGAAGAGAGCTGAGACGCCCAACCAGGGTGTGAACATGGCAGAGCGATGTAAGCTTATTCGCAGGGGGAAAGAAAGCAGGGGAATCCAGGGGACAGTGAAAAGGAAAGAGAGTGATGTGGTTCCAGAGGAGAGCAGAGAGGATGACACAGTGGACCCTCAGTGGTTCTGTGAGGAGGAGAATAGAGCTGTGTGAAGGTGAGGCTGATATCTCTGTTATACAAACACTCCAAACCAGCTTGGCTCTGAAACAATCCATTCTGATATAAGTCAAAAATGTTTCATGTTTTTTTTATTCAGGAAAGAAATAACCAGACATTATTAGAACAACTGCAGGAAAAGCTGGAGAAATCTAACGACTTTGATTTGTCTGTTTCTTTTCTGGATTCTGCTGGATTCTCAGTGAAACACATTGTGTATAGCTAGTATACTATAACTGTTACAAGCATAGGCTACTACAGTGCATTTTTAAACAGAGAAGACGGACCATCTGCTCATCCATACCTTACATATTAAGCGTTACACATTCACACATGGCCCTCATACTGTCCCTATATTATGAGCATTTACAAATAACTTGTTTTGATGTAGATTTTTTTAAACAAATTTCAAGGTGAGAAAATAATACTATAATCACAGTAGCATGTTATAGTAACACTATAGTAAAATGGGTAGGTCCTTTATGCTAACACTGTTATAGCTAAGTTGCCAAAAGTATTTACTTGGCACAGGGTCAGTGAAGAGCCAGACCAAACCCCGGGTATAGCGGCTCAG